TCATCTATATCATCATCTGCTCTGTGATCGGGGCCTTCTCCGTGGCTGCTGTCAAGGGGCTGGGCATCACCATCAAGAACTTCTTCCAGGGGCTGCCAGTCGTACGGCACCCGCTCCCCTACATCCTGTCCCTCATCCTGGCACTGTCTCTCAGCACTCAGGTCAACTTCCTCAACAGGGCACTGGATATTTTCAACACCTCCCTGGTGTTCCCCATCTACTACGTGTTCTTCACCACGGTGGTCGTTACCTCGTCCATCATCCTTTTCAAGGAGTGGTACAGCATGTCTGCCATGGACATAGCGGGCACCCTCTCGGGCTTTGTCACCATCATCCTGGGTGTGTTCATGCTGCATGCTTTCAAAGACCTGGACATCAGCTGTGCCAGCTTACCCCACATGCATAAAAACCCACCCCCTTCTCCCGCCCCGGAGCCCACTGTCATTAGACTGGAAGACAAGAATGTCCTGGTGGACAATATAGAACTTGCCAGCACCCCATCGCCAGAAGAGAAACCCAGAGTATTTACAATCCATTCTTGAAGCTTGGAATACGTGAGAGGATGAGCCTGATGGTACAGCCTGACCTCCGAATTTCAAAACCACCTGGTTACTTTCAGTGCCACTTTACCAGTGGGCTCTCTTTTCTTGAGAAGTTCATTTATACCTCATCACTGTTTCCAGGAGAAAAATCTCTACCCAAATAGCAGTGGTGGCAGAACTTCCTGGAAACAGACTCAGTGACCAAATACCCAAGTTTACATCAGTGCCTGCAGGTCCCCTGGACCTCCCTTCTCATTCATTCTTTTGGTGCCATCTCTATGTCGTTGGGAAGAAGACGGAATCTGATCCATTGAATGCAGCGCAGTCCGAGGACTTCCCTGAGATATTTATCGGTCATTAGCAGTTCCTTCACACCAAGTCTCCTCCTGAGATGGAATCTCCATTTTTTTTTTTTTTAACTCAAGAATGAAATAGAGCTGGTTCCCAAAGACCCAGAGAGCGTTTGGCCATACCTCCCTATCCAGAGCCAACAGGGACACAACCAGTGTAAAATATCCTGTTGATCTTGCCACTTCCTTTTCGGAAACAGAAGCAAGACCTCAGCTGACCTCCTTACTGTGAAAGCCACTTGATGTCTCAGGGAAAATTTTCAACCAGCTCATTCCCCGAGCACTCCAGCCTGGCGGTCAGCACCTTGGTATCCACCCAGTCCAACCCACCCTCACCCCTTCCCTCTCTACTTCCATCCTAAGGAGTCAGTCGCTGAGACATAAAGATAGTCATCACAGAACGGGAAACAAAACCACAGTAATAGAGCCACAGCCAAACTCTGGTGGCCAAACCCAGTATTTCATTTTGTCTTACTCAAAAAAAAAAAAAAAAAAAAAAAAAAAAAAAAAAGAACAACAGACTCACTGCTTCACAGAGGCCTGGCTGCAAAGCTAGAATTTTGCAGAATGCACTTTTCTTTTCCTTAAGGAGTCAACCAACCTGTGATCTGGGGAGGTGGGGAGGAGATGAGTGAAGTCGGGATTGGCAGAAGGCAGGCCCAGGCTCTCTGGATCCTAGGGGCTAACTTTTGTGTTGACTCTGGTTCTCATCCAGGAACTTAGGAGAAAAGGGCTGAGGGGTAATTTCTGGGCTGCAGCCTTAAAGGCTTGGATAGTGGGATCAGCTCTGAATCTCAGTGGCCAAGCGGAGGCGCAGACTTGGCATGGGGTGCATTCTAGCTGTTGACCAGATTGCCACTGAGTCCCCAACTCCACTGATGAGCTGCCCGCACTGGGAAGCAGTATGCCCTGACTTTTCCAACACCACCTGCTACAGGGAGTACCTTTGGTCCCCTCACATTTGGCCAGAGGCGTACCCAAAACCAGAGCAGCTGGAGGAGAGAGAATTACTATTCCTTCCCTTCCCGTCTCCTTTCTAGCTGCAGGAGTGTGGGGGTTGGAGAAGGACATTAGAAAGGGAAGTTAGTGGGCTGGTATATCTGGAAAGAGGGAAGCCTTGATTCTCAGCCCTCAAGTTGGTGCAGGGCCTCCCCTGTGTGACTCTACCTGCACTGTGTTTGTATCCTTTGCCCTAAGCGTGCCAAGCCCAGATAAGTTCCTGCTGGCCTTGGAGCTCCAAGGTTTGGCTGACCGGCAGACTGCCTCCCTGCCTCTTCAGCCTCAAATCCCCAGTTTTTGATGAATGTGGATTTCTGTCTGCAATGAAAAGCAATGCAACAAGCTGAATCTTGAGAATGGCAGTAAACTGAGGGCCCTGAGAGCGTGGTCTGCAGGGTCAAGAATAAAGACTTCAGATTATATTTACTCGATACTTGTGCCTTGACCTTCCTTGAGCATGGAGTGATGAAACTAGTTTTTCTAGTGCTGGAGAGACAGTCTCCAATCTCTGAATGAATGTGGCTGCCAATACAGCCCCTACCGTGTCCTTGATAATTAACACCCTTGGTAGAGTGGGAAAGATAGTTTTTGAAATATAATCAGTTGAAGATAACTCATCCCTGGGCCTTTACCTGAGCCCTTACCAGGCACCAGGCCCAGTAAGTGCTTCCTGTTAATTCTCTCTTTAACTCCTCACAAATCCGCAAGTTGGATATGTCTTTATTCCCATTTAGAGATGAGGAAAGGAACTCGAAGAGGTGAAGTAATTGCCCAAGGCCACACAGCCGGGAAGAGCAAAGTTGATACCTGGTTTAACCACCAGGTATAGTGTGTCTCTCCAAGACTAACCTTGCCCCCAGTTATATAATCTGTGTTGTTTTGTGTGTGTGTGTGTATGTGTGTGTGTGTGTGTGTGTGTGTGTTTTGAGACAGGGTCTGGTTCTGTCACCTATGCTGGAGTGCAATGGTGTGATCCTAGCTCACTACAGCTTCAAACTCCCAGGCTCGGGTTTGGTAAAGATGAGGCCTTGCTGTGTTACCCAGGCTGCTCTCAAACTCCTGTCCTAAAGTGATCTTCCCACCTTGGCCTCCCAAAATGCTGGGATTTTAGGCCTGAGCCACTGTGCCTGGTGCATAATCTGATACTACCTTATTCACTTACTTTCTTGTGATCTGTGCTCTCTCCCCATCTCGATATAAGCTTCATGAGAGTTGGCTCTGATCCACTGCTTATCCTCGGTACCTAGCACATCGCAGGTACTAAAAAATATACGTATCGAATGAAGGAACATCACAGTCCTTCCTTGCCCAAACTCTCCTGGAGACCAGCACTCAATGCAAGGCAGATCCTAACAGAACCCTGCATGTCAAGCAAAGCAACTGTAAACTGATGTAGTCAGCAGTTTCTGAGCACATAGCTTGTGACAGGCACTGTTGGGTGTTTTCACATAGAGAACATCATTGATGATCACGACACTTTTGAGGTAGGTATACTATTCCCATTTGAATAGTGAAAAGAGACTCAGAAATCTGGAACGTATCCAGGCCCACCTGTCTACCCAGTAGCAAGCAGAGTTGGGACTTCACCCGGGTCGGTCCAACCATGCCTTCTCCATTATGCTAGTGACCAACACACAAGCACCATCCCAGAAACAGTGGCCTCTTAGGCAGGGATGTGTGAGTGGGAAGCAACTTCATGAGTGGGCATGCTAGTACTGAAAGCATTTGTGTTTAGATGTCTTTAGGGTCCATAGGCAACCTCATAACCATGAAAGATTAGAAAAGTATAATTGGGCTGGGCACGGTGGCTCATGCCTGTAATCCCTGCACTTTGGGAGGCCAAGGCAGATGGATCACTTGAGGTCAGGAGTTCAAGACCAACTTGGCCAACATGGCAATTCCCTTCTCTACTAAAAATCCAAAAATTAGACAGGCGTGGTGGAGGGCACCTATAATCCCAGCTGCTTGGGAGGCTGAGGCATGAGAATTGCTTGAGCCCGGGAGGTGGAAGTTGCAGTGAGCCCAGATGGCCCCACTGCACTCTAGCCTGGGTGACAGAGAGAAATTCCTTTTTTTTTTTTTTTAAAGTATAATCTGAGAGCAAGAAGCCCCCTCAGGGTTTTTGTGAAAATTAAATGAGATAATCCTTATTGTAAATAGCATGCGGTGACTCATGTATTTAACTGACGTTAAATACAGCTGTTCCTGGCTTCTGCAGGGCATTGATTCCAGGACCCCCATGGATAACAACATCCAAGGATGGCCAACTTCCTTATATAAAATGGTAGGGTATTTACATATAACCTATGTACATCCTCCCATATACTTTAAATCATCTCCGGATGATCTCTGTAATACCTAATACAAGGTAAATGCTGTGTAAATCATTGTTATATATTTTAAAATTGTATTACTTCTTAAGGTTGTACTTTTTTTTCCAAATATTTCAATCTGCTGTTGGTTGAATCCGTGGCTTTGAAACCCACAGATATGGAGAGCTGACTATATTCAGTAACTGTCACCTTAGATCATAGTCCTTAAGCCTCCATCTCTCTGAGAGAACCTCAAAATTGAGGTAAGGATCAATGAGAGAATGAGATTGGGATCCTTTTGAGGACTGGGAAGCACTAATGAATACACGCTGTGGTATCACGCAGAGTTCTGGTATCAGAAAGCACACCCAACCCTATCCCTGGCTGTGCCTGCCTACCCCACCCAAGAGACCTCGGGCAAATGTCTCCCCTCTTGAAAGTATGACCCCTTGCCTTAATAAGATGAAGTGAGCAGAGGGTTTCAGCTGTCTGCTATACGTAGTTGTATAGAATGAGAAGAAACATACAGAAGAATCCCAGGATCATTCAGGCTTTTAATGAGCCGAGACCTAATTAAACTAGAGCAGCCTGCGTCCAGGTGCAAAGACAAGCAGCCCCCTTTACTGGCCACAGGAAAACACAGGCTTTGCTTTGGCTCAGGGTCCACCATGATGTCTTCATAGGCTGAACTGACTGTCTTTGTGGGAGCTCTTTCTGCAGTCCATGTCATGAATCCTAACTAATCTGAGCAGTAGGACATTACAACAAACACACAGTAAAGAGTTTGCCAAACCAGATAACATTGCAAATGACAAACAATTCCTTTTAATTAAATACAAACAAGGAAAAAAGGCACCATGGCCCATTCAAGTATTTTGCATAGATGTACAAATATTGTAAACAATTAATAGGTGGACAAGGCAGAAGATCTGTTTCCTGTGAACAATCTCCCAAATAAAAAGAAAATTCACATTGCCCTGGATCCCAGACACATACAAACGCACAGTGGACGGTGTGAGAGGACACGCGGGGTGTTGGGGTGTGACTTGGGAAATGTGGGTTTGGATTCTGCGGAACCTCTCCTTAGCAGGCTTCCCATGGGAAGGGGACCTTTCCAGTTGGCATTCCCGTGGCTTTCTTGGGTGTCCAGCAGGGCTGTTCTACACATGATTAACATAAACACTGACTTTGGAACTGGTCCCCGATTTTCAAAACGCAAGTCGTCCATACCCTCTGTCAAGAACGAATGAGGAAGTAGGCGGGGGAGACGTTATTCAAAAGGGTTATTGCAGGAGGTGGTGAGGGGCTACTGCTTCAGAGGGAAGGGACATAGCAATACAAAGAATACTCAACCAGAAAATTGGCAAGTCTCAGACCTTGAGATCTGCAAGTATCTTAAGAGTTGGGGCAGAAAAGGGCTTTACTTTTATAGGGAGAAGTCAGCACGGCTGAAAGGAACCTGTGGCTGGCAGACAAGACAGGGCCAGGCACCCAGGCTAAAGCTTCCACAAGGACAGGGAGGCAGGGCACGAAACCTCCTGAGGTTTGTTTTAGAGATGGCTCTAAGGCCCTTAACGGAATGATTGGGTTGTAAGATTGGCAGGTTAATTTTGTTTTTAAAGAGATTTACCTACATCTCCATCTGCACGAAGAGCTTGCTAACTCACTAAGCCGAACTGGAGTTAAGCTTCCCTCCTCCCCACCAGGCCCTCAGCCTGAGCCAGCAAACAGCCCCTCCCCTGAAAAAATAAACGGCTGGGCACACAGTGATTCCCTGAACGCAGCTCTTTCTAGCCATGTTTACTTTTTCCAATAAAAGAAGAGGCCTTTTCTGCCTGGGCTTTGAGATGCCTGCAGATCTGCTGTCGGTAGGTCTGAGCCTTCTCACTACTCCCATAGGCCCCTTCCTCTCCCTTTTACAGTATTCCCTTCCCTCTTCTGCAATCATGCTTTGGAATAAGGTCTCGCCTTCCCTAAGCCCAGATTTATTTGTATTTGACACCTCAAAACAGCACACTGGGCAGTGGAGAGAAAAGGGGATGCATAATGGCCAGTCTTCCTCGTGGGCAGCCTCCCTGAACAGAGCCAGGAGCAAAGCATCAGCAGAACTGGTTGACGAAAGTCTCCATCAAATGCCAAAACATTTCACCATCTTCCAGTTGACAGTACAGTTTGATGGGATGGAGGTGATACTGACATAAAACTAAACAAACAGCAAGAAAACAGCAACCCAGGTCTCCTTCTGCTGTGGTTCCAGGGAGGACGCACTGCAGTTCAGACGGCTCGTGCTGTCACTGTGGCTGTGGTGCTGTCGCTTCAGAGCCATCTGCCTCCTGATGGGAGGGAGAAAGGCTGGAGAAGCCACAGGAACATGTGAGGCATGGGGTTGGGTTTTGGGGATGTTTTGTTTGGCAGTGGGGGCTGGAGGGGATATTTTCACCTTTACTTTTCTGGAACCAAGCCTTGAGGAAGAGGGTGACACATTTAAATAAAAGGTAGTTTCCTGACTTAATTGGGCCACAGGAAAGATGGGGAATGGATCTCCGGAGCAAGGATGATCCACAGCAGAGAGACGGGGAACCTATATCATAGCCACCCTGAGGGAAGAGAAACTCATGTTCCTGAGATCTTTCTAAACCCACCACAGGCTTTTCCCCAGGGGGACATCCCACACTTTCCACTTACTTCCAAACCCAACAATGTCCACGTCCATGAAGCACCTATCGTGTGTAGAGAACTGTAAGGAGGCCCTGGGGTGGTGAACCAGAAGCTCAGCCACAGCCTTGCAGTGAGGTTTTCAAGAGCAAACAACTGCTCATTGCGGGAGGGGAGGAGGCCCCAGGAAAGCCTCGGAGGAGGACAGTCAGGCCAGCTCCTATCCGGAGAGCCACCCAGCACCTTTGTGGGGGTGGGAGTCAGTCTCCCAGAAAACATCTCCAGGTGCTTTGTGAAGCTAGCAAAGCACCACACGGCCCTCCTTCCCTGCTGCAGGGAGGACAGGAGCCACCCCGAGCCCCTCAGAGGGTCAGATAAGGGCAGTGAGCAGAGAGAGAACAAAAGGAAGCGAATGACAAAAGGCTGGGTCGGGGAAGACACTCCCCAGCTCTGACCGTGCTGGCTGTTGCTGGCTGCCTTCTCCAGCGATCTCGGGTAGCTCCCTTGGTCAGACACGGGTCTGCCTCTGCTCAGAGGGCAACAGTCCTGCTCGAGGTCAGTAAGCAGCCACTACGCAGACTGGCTCCCTCATGTACTTTGTAAATAGCCGGGCTTCCTAAGGGGGACCTCGCCTAGACTGAGCTCAGAGAGTAAGGAGGAAGTTCCTCACTGTGCTGAGGTCACAAAACATAATGAATAATAACGATATGACCCCAGTGGCCAGGTCCCGAGTTTACTCTGGTCACACTCCTGAGAGCCAATACTGAAATCCAGTGGCTGACTGTGAGAGAGGACTCTGACTTGTAGGTCACCAGCACCTGGTCACCAGAAGGTCAGGACTGCTGAGGGTTCGCTCACCAAAGCAGCACGCCTTAGAGCAGGAATGAGAGGGGACGGGAGAGAAGCATGGGGCACCAGCAAGCGCGGTGGAGAAAACACAGGGCAAAAATTCTCCAGAGTCGGGAGTCGCAACCTTTGGCATCACAGCTCAGAGGAAGCCCAAGCCTGGTGCGCCTCTGGCTGTCTACACTGCCTATGAATAGTACCTGTCTGAATCAGAGTGACCCGTGTGAATACGGGGACGCAGGGGTTTGGGGAGAGGTGGGAGGGGACTTGGCTTGTCACATGCAGCCATATAGCCAGAAGCCATTCCCTCAACTGAGCCCTGGGCAGAGCCACAGCAGCGGCTGGCTTGACCCTTCCTTAACCCCTAAAAGCTAAAAGGAGTGAATGCCAGCCTCTGTCCAGCCCAGGACCTCTGAGGAGGGCAAAAGCACTGGGAAGCCCTGGTGCACGCCCTGCACCCCTGGAGTGGATGGATGCTTCTACAGGCAGAGGGTTGGCCTGAGGAGCTGGGCAGGACTTTTCCCAGTGGGCTTGCCAGCCTTGACTGTCTCCATCAGCACCTCAGGGCTGGGAGTCTGGAGGAGAAACTGCCATTCACCCTCCTCCTGGTCTCCCCTCCCTACCTGGGGCTGTATATTGCACAAAACAACACGTAGAAGCCATTGGATCATAGTCCCTCTGGGCTTCCAGGGAAGCCGATGAGGCACTGAGTCAACAAGGTTTTTGGAGATGTGGAGGTTCCCGGAAGAGGGTGGGGGGAGCTCAGAGGCAGCCAGACATGCTTCTTCCGGATTCCATGGCCACGGGTCCTCTGCAGTGTCCAGGGAGCTCAAGAAAAGGGAGGAGCCCCTTGGACAGGTCTAGATTTTCGAGTTCATCATCCCTCCAGCCCTCTGTGATCTGTATTCTGGAAACTGGAAAGGAAAGGAAGGGAAGGAGAGAGCCGTCAGCGTGATGCAGACCAGCGGGATGAAGCGGGAGCCGCCCTCCAGGTTTTAACAGCTTAGGAGGGATGGAGCAGCCACTGGGAACGAGGCTTCTTGTGGAAGTCTATCCATATGTCTGCTCACCCAGACTGTCAGTCCTGCAGGGTGGGGTGTGGTGGGTGCCCCCATCTCAAGCTGACCCGTCACCCCTCCCTTCTCCCTTCCCTGCTAAGGCAGCAGCACAGTCCATAGATTTCCCAATGCCTCGTGGGAATACAGGGTGGTCAGCCAGCTTCTTCACCTCAGCCCTTTCTGACCCAACTCCCAGGACTGGCAAACTGAGACTATGTCAGCCACAGAGAAGAGGTACGAGGAGGGGCCATGTGTGCACAGCCTCCCGCAGGCCAGGTGGCTTCTACCAATGCACTGCCTTGCTCGTCACAGCTGGTACTACTGATCATCATCGCCTCTGTACAGATGGGGAAACAGACTCAAGAGGGACTTGCTCAGGGTCCCTCTGCAGGTCAGGGGCAGGGGCAGGGCTGAAGCCACCAGAGCTCAGGACCCTAAGCATCACCTTTCACATGAAGCCAAAACGCCACAGTCAAGCAGGCACCAAGAAATGTGAATGTTTTGCCCTTGGCTTTTGTTCTGGAAATTCAGTACAGACCACAAGAAATATGAATCGCTTTGTTTTCTTAACTCCACACCTGCCCCCTGAGAGCCCTCTGGTACCAGCTTTCAAGCTTTCACCTTGAGGGCTTCCCATGGACTCACCTTTGGGGCAGGTGCTGCCACAGGCTGGGACTGCCGAGGGCTAGCACCAGGGGGCCACGGCGTGGATGCACCCCCTGGCCTGGGGAGGGCCTTGCGGCCTGGCACGGGGTTGGCTGGGAGCGCCTTCTGGGGTGGTCGAGGCCTGGAGAAGTCCTGGAGAGAAAGCAATAAGCCTTACTTGAAGGCCAGTGGCCTGTCTGAAAGAAAAATATCCCTGCTTTCTTACCAGTCAAAAGCAGATAGGAAAAAGTTATAACTGTATGGTCTCATTTAGAAAGAAACTGTGTATGATGTGTCTATATTCTCAAGAGGAAGTTAGGAGAGCAGCTGGCAGTGTCTATTAAATTACAAATAACCATTCTCTGATCTAGTCATTCTGCTTCTTCTGACCTGTGCTGGAGAACTATTTGCACAGGTGCACAAAAATGCAACAGCGAGGGTGTTCCTTGCAGCACTGTTTGTAACAGCAAAGAAACTATAAATAAGCAGAATTTCATCAGCAGAAAAATAACCAAAATTATCAAGTGACAGACGATACAGCACTTAAAAAGAATGAAGTAGGCTGAGAGGAGCTGGTATGGAGAGATGTTCAAGAGTTGTTAGATGGAACAAACAAGCTGTAGAGGACAGCTGATGTAAAATAAGTCACCACTCTCCCCACCTAATAGGAACGTCTATGAACAGAAAAATGAAAGGATACAGATACAACTGAGAAGAGGTTACGCTGGGACGGGGTGCGAGAGGGGAGGGGTGTGCTGCAGGTGAACACCGTTTTTTTAACAAGAGCATGTATGTGTATTTCCTGTTCAGATTAAAAGAAAATTTCTTTTTCTTTTTCTTTTTTTGAGACGGAGTTTTGCTGTTGTTGCCCAGGCTGGAGTGCAGTGGCACAATCTTGGCTCACTATAACCTCCAACTCCCTGGTTCAAGCGATTCTCCGGCCTCCGCCTCCCAAAAAAGCTGAGATCACAAGCACACGCCACCATGCCCAGCTAATTTTTGTATTTTTATTAGAGACAGGGTTTCACCATGTTGGCCAGGATGGTCTCAATCTCTTGACCTTGTGATCCACCTGCCTCAGCCTCCCAAGGTGCTGGGATTACAAGCATGAGACACCACACCCAGCCAGGAAAAGTTAAACAAAGAAGCAGTTACATTTTGTGCATGTTGGCTGTCTATGTGTGCGGCACGTTTAATGGATTCTGTCCTTGCTGGGTTACTATTACCTTCATGTTGCCACCATTTCCACAAGGCTTTGCCCGGACTACCTTATTTAAAATCACGCAGCCCCCACCCTGGCATTCCCTGACCTTTTTATCCAAATATACCTTTTCTTTACTTTTCATGTCACTTACCCCCTTCCAACATACATAATTTATTTACTTATTAAGTTGATTTTTACTTTCTGTCTCCCCACCCTCCTCTAGAGTGGAAGCAGGATGGGGTCCCAGCTGTCTGGTTCACTAATACATCTTTGGCTTCCAGAACAGTGCCCAGTATACAGGAGGTGCTCAACATATATTAGTTGATCCATTGTTTTTTTTTTTGTTGTTTTTTTGAGAGGGAGTTTTGCTCTTGTTGCCCAGGCTGGAGTGCAATGGCATGATCACGGCTCACCGAAACCTCTGCCTCCCGGTTCAAGGGATTCTCCTGCCTCAACCTCCTGAGTAGCTGGAATTACAGGCATCTGCCACCACACCTGGCTAATTTTATATTTATAGTAGAGACAAGGTTTCTCCATGTTGGTCAGGCTGGTTTCAAACTCCAGACCTCAGGTGATCCACCCGCCTCGGCCTCCCAAGTGCTGGGATTATAGGCGTGAGCACCGAGCCTGGCCAATCCATTGTATTTTAAGGGGCAAAGAATGACTGTGCCACCCACAGGCCCCCAAGCTGTTGGGATTTAAGGGGAAGCTAACGGCATAGATGGGAGTTCCAGTGCCTGCTCTCTCTGACTTGCTTCCCTTCTCAAGAGGGTCACGACCACGTATTAAAGTGGACAAAAGGCAAGCATGTAGAGAGGGCAGGAATGACTCAAAAAGCTGAGACCTCCCCCAAGAGCTTCACAGCATTAGAAACTGAAGCAAATTCTTAGGACCAAAAAGCCATGTTCCTTGGCTCCATGGACCTGGAAGGACAATGCAACCCCACCCACCTTCCCCAGCCCAGAATAGCTGCCAAGTTGCGGTGGTTGCTGGAAGCCAGGACAGAGACCTTCTGGGGCAGGTGACAGCTGGGTGCAAATGTCAGGTTGCAACTGGGAAAGGCTGTGCTCACAAGGAGCTGTGCAAACGGGCCACCGGAGGGCTGGTGTCTGGGCAGGAGCCTCATCAGCGTGTCAGCGCTGGGCCTCCCAGTGCAGCAGCCAGCCACAGGCCATATCTGCAATGACCCAACGCAGCCCTGGCAGGGGCCTCGCCCACACTGTTTTCCTCTGCCTAAAGCAGAAACAGTCCCTCAACCACTCTGGCCCACGCTCCCTTCCGTAAGGGAGGGCATCTCACTTGATCAGATTGCGCAAGCCAGACACGGGGCATCATCATCCCCTACCAACCTCAAGTCCTGTCTATTTTCACAATTCTTATCAGCTTCACTCCATCATCCCTGCCTTCTCCCTACTCCAAGCTTTTACCATCTTTCTTCAGGACAGCCTTTAAATCTTGTAACTAGTATAATCATTTGCTGCCAGAGTACTTTCTTTCTCTTCTTTCCCTTCCTTACTCTCTGTCTCTCACTCTCTCTCCACAGAGTTTCACTCTTGTTGCCCAGGCTGCAGTGCAACAGCGCGATCTTGGCTCACTGCAACCTCCGCCTCCCAGATTCAAGTGATTCTCCTGCCTCAGCTACCATGGCCTCTCAAGTAGTGGGGATTATAGGCATGCGCCACTATGCCCAGCTAGTTTTGTATTTTAAGTAGAGATGGGGTTTCTCCGTGTTGGTCAGGCTGGTCTTAAACTCCCGACCACAGGTGATCCACCTGCCTCGGCCTCCCAAAGTGCTGGGATTACAGGTGTGGGCCACTGTGCCCAGCCCCCATTTTTAAAAACTATTTTCAAAATACAAATATAATCACAGAAAAAGGTGAACAAATCACAAATATACAACTAGATGAATTATCACAACGCAAATACACTAAGTAATTCCTGTGCAGGTCAAACAGTAGATTAACAGCGTCAGAAGCTTCTATGGGCCCCTCGCGGGAGCTACACCTCCCTCCTGCCTAAAGGCATCCCGAAGAACGATCAATCCTGGTAAACAGAGAATCGCATCATGTCACCACTGTCCCCTTCCTATGGCATGCAGACCAAAGTCCTGACCAAGGCTATGTGGCCTGAGCATACTGTGGCTCCCCCTGGCCCTTCAGCCTCATTGCATAGCTCCTTGGGCTTCCAAGCACAGGAATCTTTAAGTTCCTTCAACCCACAGGACCCTCTCCCATTACAGAGCTTCCCTAGTAGTGGGTCCCAGGACCAGGAAAGCTCTTTTGTCACTTGCCCTCACAGCCTGGTTAAGTCCTGTTCCTCCTTCATGTCTCAGCTCAAATGTCACCTCCTCAGGGAAACCTTCCTGGATTTCCCAGACTAGGTTGAATCCCCATTACTCTCTTCTGAGCACTCTGAGCCTCTCGTTCACAGCACTTATCACTGTTGCAGTGACACCTATCCCGGAGTCCCTATCCCAGCAGAATGTGAGCTCCAGGAGGCAAAGCTGCCATCTGCTTTCCTCATCATCGCCTGGCCCAGAAGGGAAGTGCACACGCTGGTTTACAATAAAAGAACTGAGGAAATGATGAGGTTTCATCCATCACTTCTCCAGGGGATCCATGTCCCCCAGCAGGAGGTAGGGGATCTTTGATGGCAGACAGGAGACTGTGAGTGGCCCCAGGGCAGGAGGCTGTCTGACCCAGCTGGGTGAGAACTGGGTTCAAGTCCTCACTTCTCCACTCACAACTGTGCAATGTCAGGCAAGTCCCTTCAATCCTGTGACGGCTGGCAACCTCCAAGAGAACGAGGCCACACAACTCCCTTCTTTGAATGGCTGTGAGGAGGGAGGTGGCAGCCCAATCTCATCACAGGAGCTCCCACTCAGAGCAGCTGCCTCCCACTGTTTGCTCCTAAAGAGACCCCCACCTGGACCCTGGGACCTAGAAGAAGCTGTGCTTGGGAGCTGTGTTTTGGGGCACCTGCCACTGGCTGGGTAGCTTCCTGTACCTGGGACTTCTGCCAGCAGCTGCAGGGGCACAGACACAGGGCATGTGCAGCCTCCACCACCTCCCCACACAGCTGGGTCCCCGCTGTCCCTGACGCTTCCTGACCTAGGGCTCGGCGCCTTGGGGTGACAGGGTGAGGCAGGCCCCATGTTCTGTGAACAAGCCTCCAGTGTGGGCTTTTTGGAACAATGGTCTGAGTGGACTGCTTCACCGACCCACTCCCTCCTCCCTCCGCCAGCACCCCAAATCTCTACACTCCCCCAAGTCTCTGCACTCCCCCAAGTCTCTAGACTCCCCAGGTCTCTGCACTCCCCCAAGTCTCTGCACTCCTTTCTCCCTTTGTTTCATCTCTGTTATGGAGTGACCTATGCACTCATCATTTGGAAAAAAAAATCATATGTTGAAGCTCTAACCCCAAGAACCTCAGAATGTGGCGGCATTTAGATATAAGGTCTTTAAAAAGGTGATTAGGCTAGAATGAGGCCACTAGGATGGGTCTTAATCCAAGCTGGTGTTCTCATAGAGTTGGACATGCAGAGACCAGGGACGCAGGAGTGCACAGGAAAGGCCATGTGAGAACACAGCGAGAGGGCGGTGGCCAACTGCAAGCCATGGAGAGAGGCTTCAGAATCAAGTCCACCAGCACCTTGACCTTGGACTCCTAGCCTCTAGAACTATGAGAAAACAAGTGTCTGCTCTGAAGCCACGCAGTGTGCAGTACTCTGCTGCAGCAGCCCCAGCACACAAGTACACTCTCCACCTCCTCTCTCTCTCCGCTCCTCCCCCTCTTGCTTTATTTCCTTTCTTCCCTCCTTCCCTCTCTCTTCCTTCATGGACTTTTCCATCCTAACTCTGCCCCACATGAAAGGAAGGGGAGGCCGGGCGCGGTGGCTCAAGCTTGTAATCCCAGCACTTTGGGAGGCCGAGGCGGGTGGATCACAAGGTCGAGAGATCGAGACCATCCTGGTCAACATGGTGAAACCCTGTCTCACTAAAAATACAAAAAAAAAATTAGCTGGGCATGGTGGTGCGTGCCTGTAATCCCAGCTACTCAGGAGGCTGAGGCAGGAGAATTGCCTGAACCCAGGAGGCGGAGGTTGTGGTGAGCCGAGATCGCGCCATTGCACTCCAGCCTGGGTAACAAGAGCGAAACTCCGTCTCAAAAAAAAAAAAAAAAAAAAAAAAGAAAGGAAGGGGAGAGCAGTGGTTTCACAGCAGAGAAACAGAAGGATGCCCTCAGCTCTGCCAAAAACTGTACCATTGCCCTGCATCCTAAGGACCCTCCAAAGCCTGCAGCCAACCCGAGTCTTCAGGGTCAGAGACAGCCCGGGTCCCAGGGAGCCCTCTGGACCACACCCATGGAAAGCAGTCTCAGTTGAGGGATCACACCCAAAACACACAAGCCAGTTCCGGAAGGCACTCCGCCCGGAAAACACCTGTGTCTGCACTGGAAACACCACCCAGGAAACACCTGTGTCTGCACTGGGGGCCCTCCTGCAGGTGTGGTCGGCGCCATCAGAGCACACACACGCAGTAGGAACAGGCTGCTTCCATGAGCACCAGTGGTGGGGGCGGAGAGTCTAGATCCCACTCTCAACTCCCAGAGGCTCCTGCCCCTTGGGATGGGCAAGGCATCAGGGTATATCCCTCATTAAGACTTTCTGACCAGTAGAAGGTGCCAATAGGGACAATATGGTGGGAAGAGTACTATGATGAAGTACAGTCCCATCAGCCTCAGACTTGAGGAGTTCGGGCAGGCTTCCTGGGAGAAGTGACATCTAGGAGCAGACCTGAGGATGCAGGAGCTGGCCAGGCAAAGGACAGAAGGAGTGTCGCAGGCAGAACAAGCAGCATTTGCAAAGACCCAGCAGGCAGATGAGCGTGAGGAACTGACTGATGTTAATCTGGGGTGGAAGGCGGGTAGTGGCTTGTCATAAAATAGGCCAACCGGAAGAAAATACTATGTGGTTTAGGAGCTGTCTAGAGCATCTATTTCTCCACGTTCATTGCTCTTACCCACTGTGTGCCTCCATATTGACTGAACTGCAGAAAAGGCAGTCAGCTCATGACCCCACAATTTCATCTTCTTCTCCACCTTTGCCATTACCCACTGAAACCAGCCTTAAGATTATAAATCATTCTACTCTCAAGACACATGCACACGTATGTTTATTGTGGCACTGTTCACAATAACGAGGATCTGGAACCAACCCAAATGCCCATCAATGATAGACTAGATAAATGTAGCACATATATACCATAGAATACTATGCAGCCGTAAAAAACGGATGAGTTCATGTCCTTTGCAGGAACACGGATGAAGCTGGAAACCATTATTCTCAGCAAACTAACACAAGAACAGAAAACCAAACCCTGCATGTTCTCACTCATAAGTGAGAGTTGAACAATGAGAACACATGGCCACAAGGAGGGGAACATCATACATTGGGGCCTTTTGGGGCATGGGGGATGATGGGAGGGAAAGCATTAGGAGAAATAGCTAATGTAGATGACGGGTGACAGATGCAGCAAACCACCATGGCACGTGTGTACCTATGTAACAAACCTGCACATTCTGCACATGTGTCCCAGAACTTAAAGTATCAAAAAAAAAAAAAAAAGGGCCAGCCACGGTGGCTCATGCCTGTAATCTTAGCACTTTGGGAGGTCAAGGCAGGCAGATCACGAGGTCAAGAGACTGAAACCATCCTGGCCAACATAAGGAAACCCTGTCTCTACTAAAAATACAAAAATTAGCTGGGCACAGTGGTGCGTGCCTGTAATCCCAGCTACTCAGGAGGCTGAGGCAGGATAATGACTTGAACCTGGGAGGTGGAGGCTGCAGTGAGCCGAGATCGCACCACTGCACTCCAGCCTGGCAAAAGAGTGAGACTTTGTCTCAACAAAAACCCCCAAATCCCCCCCAAAACCTGTAATACATATAGAAAAACCCCATGCAGCCAGTATTGAAACATTACACCTTAAAATTTGGTATTTATTATGAATCTGAATTTATAATAAATGCTTAAGCTTTAAAAAAAAAAAAAGGAAACTGGCCTTAAAAGCAATGTTCGCAGCCCCTGGTTGCTGACAATGCACTTACCTGGGAAAGAATGCAACTGGGTGCAGGGGGAACTGGCCGGCTCGGGGGAGGCCTCCTGGATGGCTCCGTCCTCTCTATTTGAGATGCAGGCCCTGGGGAGTTCCTAGCAGCTCTGCTCAGGTGTGCTGGCAGTAGTGCAGGTGGGGACCCACCACGCAGATAATCTGGAGGGGGCCGCGGAGGAGGCTGGGAGGGCTTCCGCAGGATTTCAGGGGTGTTGAATACCTGTATGTACAAGTCAAGGACCCACTGAGACAAGAAATCACTCAGGGCTGCCACTGTGTGTCTCTTTGAGATAAACCAGAGCCCGAAGGGAGAACAGACACACCAATCTATTAAAACCCCAGGATCCCAGATGTCAGATGCAACCTTTAAAGTCATTAGGGGATGTCAGAACCAAATGACATGTCTCTCAAGCCAATAAAAGGGCTTTTTGTCACCCCCATGGGCCCACAGAGGCTCTTAGAAAAATCCAGCATGGCCCCGGGGGATAAAGAAAAAGCAGCAAAGTTCAGAGGTGCCAAGCGCCTACCTTTCGCTTGCCCTGGGGCGTCTGCAGCTTGAAAGTTGGGTTGGCATGACCAGTCCCGCTGTTCTGAGAAACCCTAAAGGGACAACTAGAAACAAGAAATGGTGGAGGAGAAGAAAGGGGCAGGCATTCAGCGGGGGACAGTGCCTGAGCTCCCTTTTACCCAAGCACGGCCAGCAAGCAGCTAAACCTTCCCCCAGCCTGTTCTGGAGGGCGTGGGATTGGTCTTCACAAACCCCATCTTCCTAAGTAGAAAAACATGTGGCCAATGGAGAACTCTCGAGGAAACTGAGTTGGCCTTATACAAAGCAGAGCTTTCTCAGCACCTTCTCTTCACTCTTTAAGACCGTTCCCCTCTGAGGAGACACAAGGGTATCATGAGCCATCAAACAATCCCCATCAGGCGCAGAGCCAGAAAGACCTGGGACTTACAATCCCCCTCCCCGGGAGCAAGTGTTATTTAACGTGTTAAATGTAAAGACGCACAGAGACTGTACATCTTCCATATTCAAAATAATAAATCACGTTTCAAATGGACACCAAAAGCGAACAAGGGTAGCTATTCTTGTATCAGATGAAACAAACTTTAAAGTAACAGTGGTTAAAAAGACAAAGAGGGGGCTGCGTGTGGTGGCTCATGTCTGTAATCCCAGCACTTTGGGATGCTGAGGTGGGTGGATCACCTGAGGTCAGGAGTTTGAGACCAGTCTGGCCAACATGGTGAAACTCCATCTCTACTAAAAATACAAAAAATTAGCTGAGTGTGGTGGCACACACCTGTAGTCCCAGCTACTCGAGAGGCTAAGTCAGGAGAATCACTTGGACCCATGAGGTGGAGGTTTCAGTGAGCTGAGATCACACCACTGCACTCCAGCCTGGGCAACAAGAGCAAAACTTCTCCTCAAAATAAATAAATAATTAAATAAAATTGGTAACAAATCAATTAGATAAAGGGTGGCAAGTCAATTTTATTTTACGTTTTAGCTTGAATTGATTGGGGATATTCTGCTGAGGAGGACTCAGGAGTGATGACCAGAATCAGCAGAGAGTACTTACATACAGTAAGATGAACTAGTAACGCCTACCACAGTCACAGCAGGGGAGAGGGCAGTGTGCACTTGCATTTGTCTTCCCTGAATTAGACCCACTATCACCAACACTTTTGCTAAGTTTCACTTATGGAGACCTTTGTGACCCATAAACTGACCTTGCGTCCTCCACGGCACCCTGTCGTACCTGAACTGCTGCCTCAGCTTGGAAGGGAGAGCTGAGGGCTTGAGTTGGCCCAGTTTCTTGTTCTGTCTGCAGCAGTAGTACAGCAGCAGGAGGGCCACCAGCACGAAGATGGCCGCCAGCACTCCAGCCACCACAGGACCCACACCTTCCAGAAACAGAACCCAAGTGGGAGATTTAGGAGCTGTCTGGGTTATAGCAGATTTCAAAATAGGTATCCCTGCTTCTTCTTCAGGCATTTGATTTGCATTTAATTTGTATTACTCATTTTAACTTACAAACTATAATTAAAAACACACATTATGGTCTGAGTGCGGTGGCTCACGCCTGTAATCCCAGCACTTTGGGAGGCCGAGGCGGGTGGATCACGAGGTCAAGAGATCAAGACCATCCTGGCCAACGACGTGAAACCCCAGCTCTACTAAAAATACAAAAATTAGCTGGGCATGGTGGTACCAGATCCCAGCTACTCGGGAGGCTGAGGCAGAAGAATCACTTGAACCTGGGAAGCAGAGGTTGCAGTGAGCCAAGATCGTGCCACTGCACTCCAGCCTGGACAACAGAGCGAGACTACATCTTAAAATACAACAAACCACACACACACACACACACACACACACACACACACACACACACACACACACATTATACCACTGGGAAACCACTAATGGTAGCTCAAAGAGCCAAGTCAACTTGCTTTGCACAGACTCTACAATAAAAAGCTTCTAGAGCCACTTGTGCCTAATTGAAGACAGTCCCTTTTCAGGCAAGCAGTTCAAGCTCTGTACAATTTACCACTCGTTTTTAGCCTGAATCATGATTTTCCTGGACACAAAGGAACCAACACAAAACGCAAAAAGACTTGGCCAGGTGTGGTGGCTCATGCCTGTAATCTCAGTACTTTGAGAGGCTAACGTGGGTGGATCACTTGAGGTCAGGAGTTAGACCAGCCTGGCCAACATAGTGAAATCCCGTCTCCACTAAAAATACAAAAATTAGCCAGACGTGGTGGCAGGCACATATAATCCCAGCTACTTGGGAGGTTGAGGCAGGAGAATTGCTTGAACCCGGGAGGCGGAGGTTGCAGTGAGTCGAGATCACACCACTGCACTCCAGCCTGGGCAACAGAGCAAGACTCCATCTCAAAACGAAAAAACAAAAAAACTAGAAGACTCAGACTGATTTAAGACTAGAACTCTCACCCATAATCTGTAACTTTACATTTGGTTTCGTCAAAACTACCGCAATATTCTCTCAAGTGGTTAATGTAAATACACAGAATATATTTGTACTATCGAAACACTCCTTTTATCAGTTTTACATATTGAGGTTTCTTCCTTGAAAGATTTTGGTATTTTTTTTTAAAAGCTATTTTTTTTTTAAAGAAAACTCTAGAAACCACAGTGCTAGGGTTCTTGAGACAGCCACTAAAATACTATAAAACTTTGCTGGGTGTCTATTTCCCTATTTTAACTTGTGTCCATTGGAGGAAATCTAAACCACTGTGTGTCCCAGGTTCATGATTATTTTTAAATGCCCAAAAAGAAATAGTCACTGTGCCCCTAAAAAGGACAGGAACATTCAATGACCTACAGTCTCTCCTTACTCTCCCTCCACTAAGCAGGCTCCCCCTCCTCAGTAGAAAGGAAGGGCGAAGAGAGACTGAGCCATGTCCCCACACTGCACTATGGGTGGTCGCTCCTCTCTTTGTCTCTGTCTTGTGATTTCCTCTCTACAAAATTGGGACAATGAAGCTGACTCAATGTGGACGCTCTGCGGCCTGCCACCTGCCCCTGATGCCTGCTCTTCTCACAAAAGCAAGCAGTGGCCCCAGCAGGCTGGCACTCACTCTCAGGAGGCATGGGCCCACTGTCGATGCTGCCCCCGTGACCCGGTGTGTTGCAGAAGGGTGGGGCCCAGCCCGGCAGGCAGTGGCAGTTCTGGTTGTTGTTACAGACCTGGAGCGAAGGAAGAGCAGAGGCATCAGCACCCCTGAGAGCGTCAGCCACCCACAGGGTCTGCCCCCATGACGCCCCCATGATACAGAGAAGCCAGAACCCAGCACGCACCCCATGGCCATTGCACTTCTTCCCGCAGCCTTCGGTTTCAAAGAAGGAGGTGTTCCTGCACTGCCCCTCGAAACAAATCTGCAGGGGGAGAAAACGGATGGATCGGTGCAGTGAGAGGGACACTGGTTGGGACTTACGAGGCATGGTTTTGCCCTTAGAACATATGAGGACCCAAGGCCTGGTGCAGTGGCTCACACCTCTAATCCCAGCACTTTGGGAGGCCAAGGTGGGTGGATCACGTGAGGTCAGGAATTTTAGACCAGCCTGGCCAACACGGTGAAACCCCGTCTCTACTAAAATTACAAAAATTGGCTGGGCACGATGGCCTGTACCTGTAATCCCAGCTACTCAGGAGGCGGAGGCAGGAGAATAGCTTGAGCCCAGGAGACAGAGGTTGCAGTGAGCCAAGATTACGCCACTGTACTGCAGCCTGGGCGACAGAATGAGACTCCATCTCAAAAAAATAAACAAAAAAACCATATGAGGACCCAAAAAGGCAGCCCACTTCAGGTTATTATCAAAGTGAAAAACGGAAAACCATCCATAACGCTAAGGACAGGACAGCAGTCAACTAAATTTGCTATTACTTTTGTGATTAGGGAGAAAACAACAAATATCTTGTTAAACTATCATGTTTAACAATAAAATATGTATTATTGCATACACCTATTATGTTGATGATGTTAATTACTTGTCATTAATATGTACTAATTTTAATATTATATCTAAAAATAATGACGGTGACAGTACTCTGCGCCACGTGCTATGCTAAATGCTTCCTGTTTTTCACAGTTTCATGGTCAGAACCTACTCTATGGGACGGTTACTATTATTTTGCTCAGGCTTCCCTAACTCCTAGTTCATTTTTAATTCCCATGATAATTAAGGATGAGGATAAAGGTGGCACTAGCTAGGCCACCTAAGTGCTTTACCAGGGTGACTTTCTTTCATCCTTCTGACAGTTCTCTGGGGTGGGTGCCTGCTGTCACTATAAAGCGTCATGAAGGGAGCCACTGAGGCTCTGAGGTTGGGGAGGAGGCATCTGAGCCCAGGCATCCTTTCCGCAGTGCTCACTTCTCAATCCCTGCTCTGCAGCCTGCTCTTGGGTGAGCTGGGGGAAGGGACTCACATGGTTGTAGCCGCACTTGGTTCCGGTCATCACCAGGCCTGGGTCCAGCATGTCACTTTCCTCCTCAGGACCTCGGTAGACATGGGTGCCCCGGCACTGGATCTGCCTCCCATTCATGATGATAGTGGTGTCGATGGGCACCGCGTTGGACTCCAGGGGCCGCGCCTCGGAGCTCTGACACTGGATCTTCCCACACTTTGCATCTCTGGGCACAAGAGACGGGGAGGGAAGGAGGTGGAATCAGAGGCGGGGGAAGAGCTGGGGCACCAGAGCTTCAGTCTTTCTTGACCAAGACAGCAGGCTTGTGTGGCACGGGGCAAAGGTTGAGGGCAGTTATATGCTTTGGAGACGGAGAGACTCCATGTGAACTGACACCAAGGGAGGAGAACAGGCTCCCTGACCTGAGCAAATGTAGACCAGAAAACTGGCCTCGAAATGTCCTCTACTCCAAGAACATCCCCCTAAGCTGAGCAATCTGTCCCTTTTTGCTCCTTACCCTGCCATCCACCCAGGAGCTCCGGCCAGAAATATGGAGTCATCTCCAACTCCCATTCTCCCTCACTCCTGGGCTCCAGCCATTTTCAAACCCTATCAATCTTCCCTCCCATATATCTACCTTAATTTATACTGCCCCATCCTCTTACCTGGTCTGCAGAAGACTGATTTGCCTGCCTTCAGTCTTGCCCCAGAGGAGTTGAATTTCCATGCTGCTCTCAAGCTAAAGTCCAAACTCCCCTAGCCATGCATTTGAGCCTTTTCATGATCTGGTCCATGCTAAACTATCCAGGCTAATTTCTCCACAGACCTTCTCCTTTGCACCCCAACATTATACTTTAACTGTATCGAACTGGTCTCAGTTCTTTCAACTACCAGTTTTTCTCTTTTCATCTCTCTTCCTGGATCACTCTCCCATGAACCAGTACCACTTTCAACCCTGTTCACCTAGGTAACTGTTCCAGATCTCAGTGTAGGTATACTTTCCTTTGAGAAGCCATTCTGACATACTAAGAGGGGTTGGGTGGCTCTCTTCACATTCCCATTATTATACTGTATTGTTAATTAAAAGTACCATGCACTCAGCACAGTATCTTACACATGGTAAATCTTCAACAGACAGTAGATGGATAGATGGATGGATAGATGGATGGATGGATGGATGAATGGATAGATGGATGGATCAGTGGGTGAGTGGGAGCTGGAAGGATGGATGGATGGATGGATGGGTGGATCAGTGGGTGAGTGGTGGATGGATGGATGGATGAGTGGTTGGGTGGGTGATGGATGGATGGATGAGTGGGTGAGTGGGTGATGGTTGATGGATGAGTGGGTGAGTGGGTGATGGTTGGATGGATGAGTGGGTGAGTGGGTGGATGGATGAGTGAATGGGTGATGGATGGATGAGTGGGTGAGTGGATGAAGGGATGGATGAATGAGTGGGTGAGTGGGTGACTGAGTGGATGGATGAGTGGGTGATGGATAGATGGATGAGTGGGTGACTGGGTGCATGGATGAGTGGGTGAGTGGGTGGATGGATGAGTGAGTGGGTGATGGATGGATGGATGAGTGGGTGAGTGGATGAAGGGATGGATGGATGAGTGGGTGACTGGGTGGATGGATGAGTGGGTGATGGATGGATGGATGAGTGGGTGACTGGGTGGATGGATGAGTGGGTAATGGATGGATAGATGAGTGGGTGAGTGGGTGGATGGATGAGTGGGTGAGTGGGTGGTGGATGGACGGGAGGATGGATCAGTGGATGAGTGGGTGGTAGGTAGATGGATGGATCAGTGGATGAGTGGGTGGTGGATGGATGGATCATTGGGTGAGTGGGTGATGGACAGATGGATGGATGGATCAGTGGGTAAGCAGGTGATGGATGGATGGATGGATGAGTGAATGAGTAGATGGTGGGTGGTGGATGGATGGATCATCAGTGGGTGAGTGGGTGAATGAATGGATGGATGGATGGATGGATAGATGGGTAGCAGATGGGTGGACGGTTAGTTGGAATGAATGATGAATTAAATGAATGAGTGAATTAATGAATGAGGACCTATTCAAATTAGGGCATGATTAGCATTTTGCAGAAATGACCCAAAAGGGCTGATTCCGTGCCCTACTATAAAATGGTCCTCAAAGAAGCCTGATCAACTTCCTAGGAAGCAGTGCCACCCACACCCTCCTCTGATTTCCTTAGAGCTGAACGGTGCATTGTCAAACAGGGGGCCAAGAAAAGAGGACCGACTTCAACTGATTTACACGGAGGTGCAGCTCTGGGGCCAGCCACGCTGCTGAGCTGGGCAGCAGTGAGTACAGAGCAGAGGTGGCTTTGTCACCCTTATTTCATGGGGCCCACCCTTTGGTCATCACCTCATGTTGCACTTCCTGTGTTCACCATTCATGTCCTTTCCACAGTTTCCAAAGGTGTCTCCGGCCACATTCACCTTCTCGAAGCAGAGATCAGGGGCAGGCCGGGCTCCTGGGTGGGCAAGCAGCATCTATCAGTACACTCGCCTGTCAGAAGCCCCCAAGGGCAAAGGTACGTTTGGTAAAATCGTGAAGTGAAGAGTATTTTCTGGGAGGGAATACTCAGCCTCTTCTTCCTGTTCCCTGTCAGGTTACTCCATCCCCACATTCTCATCAAGACTCTTTCAGAGAAGAATGTTTTATATAAACTCTTCCTACCTTATTGAGGATTTGTATCTGTGTGTGGGGAAGGTTGCATACTAAGCCGGCTCTCTGATGTAGAAGCCATGTCTCATTTCAAGATTTTAAAAAATAGGTCATACATGCACAATATTTTAAAGATACAAGTATGTCTTGGAAAATTCTTCTTGTAGTCATCTAGTTACTACTTCTCTACATTCTGGAGAAATAGTACTTATTAACAGTGTATTTTCTAAAGACACTTACATCTCTAATTTCTATATCTCCTATGTATAATTCTGTGTGTATCCTCTAGAGATAATCTATCTAATAAAGAATGGAAGCATATGAAGGGATTCTCCCATCTTAGCCTCCCAAGTAGCTGGGATTATAGGTATCCACTACCACACCTGGCTAATTTTTGCATTTTTAGCAGTTACAGGGTTATACCATGTTGGCCAGGCTGGTCTTGAACTTCTGACCTCAGGCGATCCACTGGCCTCGGCCTAGCAAGTACATACTGGGATTATAGGCATGAGCCACTGTGCCCGGCCTGTGTCACCCAGACTGGAGTCCTTCAGTACGGTGGCTCACTGCAGCCTCAAACTCCTGGGCTCAAGCCATCCTCCCCACTCAGCCTCCTGAGTAGCTGGGATTACAGGTACAAGCCACTGCATCTGCCTTGGAAGCATGTTTTATGCACTGTTCTACACCTTGCATTTTTCACTTAATTTTTTCGTGGAAGATGATTTTATTCAGTAAATATAGGGCTGCCTCCTTGTTTAGTCACAAAGCATTGCATTATATGGATGTACCAGAGCTAACTGGTCCCTACTGAAGGACACATAGTTTGTTGTTGGTATAGGTGACACGGTGCAGTAAACCGCTTTGTAAATATATCCTCACACATGTCCAAGTGTTAGCTTCATTTCTAAGTATACCTCCAAATTGCTTTTCATAGGGGTCATACCTACCTGTTTCTTCACACCCTCCGCAACACTGTCTCATTATTATTGTTGTTATATTATTATTATATTAACTCTCAGTCTTTACAATCTGATATATGAAAAATCTCACCTCATAATAATTATAATTTGCTTTCAGTTACTACGACTGAGGTTAAAGGTCTTTTCATAGCTTAAGGGCCGTTTGCATTTGCTTCTCTGTCTCCATCCTCTGCTCATTTTCTTTGGGATAACTCATTCATCTGTCCACTCTGAGAATGAAAAGCATCAAGGGACTGGGAAGAAACACTGTCCTCTAGTTCTCTCTGAACATCTAACCTGAGTCAAGGGGATAAAACAGGTAGTATATCTAGAGGTGCCATCCTGAAGCCAAGATTCCAAACTACTCTGAGGGCCAGGGGAGGCTGGCTGGGAGATGGTGGGCTGGGGAGAGCCATGCTCCCCAGGAGAGCCTTACCGGGTCCCCACAGCTGCTGGCACTGCTCCTGGTAGGTGAGGCACATGCCATTGTAGCAGTAGGCCTGGCCACCCTCACAGGGGGTACCATCCATCTGGTAGAAGTTGGTAGGGCAGTGGGGAGACTTGCCCGTGCAGAACTCCGGGAGGTCACACTGCCGGGCCTGCTCACGGCACAAGGTCCCAGGAGCCAGCAACTGAGCCAAGGAACGAGGGGAAACACACAGTCAGTCTCCTCCCTGCCCTCAACCCTGTGGCTCAAGGGCAATAAGCATCACTCTCACAGAACAGAAGTTTCCATTACCATGATTTCATAGCATTTCTGACATGACATGACCTCATTAGCCCAAACCATCTTCAGCCTTCCCATAGGAATACTGACAGAATTTCAAGGTGTTTTCACAAATGCTATCTCACTTTCTCTTCATAGCAGTCTTAAGAAAGAGGCAAGAAATAATACCTGTACAATTTATAGTTCACTACATGCTTTAGTAATAGCTGCTTTTATGTAGCTCCCACTGAAGTGCCCAGTACAAATATGACTTCGTTTAGTTTTCATGACAGTCCTATGTAACATAATTATTCCTCCTACAGATGATAACATATGTAGGCTTAAAGAGGTTAGACTATGTATACAAAGTCTTATAAGTGGCAGAGGAGCCAGACCCGCTAACACACACACACACACACACACACACACACACACACACACACACACACCCCTGGCATTCACAGAACATCTGTGAGTTTACAAAGCATCTCCGCAATAATACATCCCCACTATGGAGCCGGGCACTGGGCTGAGTATGTGACATACACGTATCTTGTGGGATCCTCACAACTTCCATGAGGTAGATACCGCTATTTGCCCCACATTGCAGATCAATAACTTGCTCAGCAGCACACCTGGGGCAAAGGGTGAAGATTTTTAGAGCCTCTCTGAGTAATCAGTGTTACTAATACTTGCCCCATTTTCCAAATAAAGAACCTACGCTTGGATAGTTAATGGGTTGCCCCAAATCACATAGTCAAAGTCAGAGTCTCGGACATCAGTGAATCCTTTCTGAGACTCAAACTGAAATTCTTGGGTGCAATGAAGGGGTCCACTCCATGCTTATGCTTAAGCCTTGGGCCAAGAGTGGAAGAGCTTGGCCCAGCACAGCCTCCCTGGGGGAAGCACGGCCAGACCAGATGCTGTGCGAATTCTGAGAGCCAGGCTAGGAAACCTGTGACTGAGAATAGAGCCCCCTCCCCTGCTCCTGGGCCACTCCTCCCCACTCACAGGGTCCTCGAGGGAAAGAAGGCAGACAGGCTTCTCCACTGACCACTCTCAGGCTGAGAAGCCAGCTGAGCAGCTTGCTGAGTGGATGCCCAGTTGCAAGTGTGGGCAGGAATGGTATATGCAGGAGGAGGCTGGAGGACACACTTCTGCCACCCAGGGCCAGGTGGAGGCAAAGAGGACCCGCCTCAGAGCCGGCCTGCCTGGGCACAAATCCCAGCTCCTTAACCATCAGCGGGGCCTTGGACATCTGCTGTGTGACCTGTGTGTGCTCACTCACCCACAACTCAGGATGGTAACCTACTCGTGGGGTGATTAAACACGAGTTAGAACAAAGTATGTGAATGGTAATCTGGCACATGACGAGCACCCAGCAAGTGCTGGCCAGATGCCTGGGGCCTAAAATGTTGGGGCCAGATGGGGCTCAGGCTTTTCAGATTTAGAAAGCAGGCACTGTAATACATAAGTCCATATGTATATGGGGGTACATATATAATTACACATGTATATATATATGGATGATTACATACGTCTGCATATGTAACTATATATGTATATTATATAACCCCTCAGCAAGGCCGGGGATAACACCTTCTGATCAAACATATTAATATTTCTGTAATACAATATAAATATTCACTTTAGGAGGGATTTTTTTAAAAGATTATAATTCATCTCATGTCAATCCAGGTCAAGTTTTGTCACCAAATACGTTTACATTTTTTTCGGCTTTTAGAACTCTCTGAATTTCAGAACTGTGGATGAGAGATCGTGGTTCTACAGTAACGCCAGCGGTGATGGACGATTTATCTCCCACGTCAATATTACAGAAGTGGGCTCCAGAGTCAGGGAAAGCTGTATTCAGGCCCTTCCTGACTGCCTGATTCCCAATAAACCTCTTATCCTTGATAAGCGCTAGTTTCCACATCTTAAAATGAGGATGATAACATACATTTTATGAGGTTTTTGTGAGGAGCAAATGAGATAGCATACATAAAATTCTCAGCACAGTGCCTGGCACCTACTAAGAGGTCCATTAATGCCAATACAGATTATGATAATTATTACTGTTTACAAGCTCAATAAAATCAAGCCCACTCTCTCTGGACACTTCTTTAAATAATAATAATAATAAAAAGTACCATTCCCAAAGAGCCACCAGACTCCTCTGGGATGATCTGAATTCAGTGCAGCCCAGTATATGAATAGTAAATTCTATTCAAGGCACCTTTCCTGCTCCATGTTTCTGAAACTTGCCATCACTCCCCCAGGATGCAGGCAAATCCCCAGCAGAGCAGTCCTGCTGTCAGATCAGGGACCACAGCGCAGAGGAAGGAGGGGCCACTTACCTTACACTGGTGGCAGCAGGAACCGTGGGCACACTCCGCCCCTGGCCTCAGGGTGCAATTAGAGGCATTGCAGCAGGGGTTGTTACATTCCTGGGGAGACAGTCGGGTAGGTGTGAGTGGGGGAGGGCCTTTACCACCCCCAACACTTTCCCCAACCCCGGCTCCTACACCCTGGGAACCCCAGCTCTCTAGCAACTCTTTTTTTTTTTTTTGAAATGGAGTATCACTGCCACCCAGGCTGAAGTGCAGTGGTGCAGTATCTCAGCTCACTGCAACCTCTGCCTCCTGGGTTCAAGCAATTCTCCTGCCTCAGCCTCCCAAGTAACTGGAACCAGAGGTGCATGCCACCATGCCTGGCTAATTTTTGTATTTTTGGTAGAGACTGGATTTTGAACTCCTGACCTCAAGTGATCTGCCTGCCTCGGCCTCCCAAAGTTCTGGGATTACAGGCATGAGCTACCGCATCTGGCCTAGAAACTCCTGGTCTCAAAAATCATGTGACAGCTTTGTCACTAAGCTAGGGTGCATTTATCACAAGAACCGTATATATGCACAATCATTAGTAACATGATTTGGACACAGCTACATTGTTTGTTTGTTTGTTTGTTTGTTTTTGAGGCAGTCTGCAACCTTCTCCTCCTGATTTCAAGTGATTCTCGTGCCTCAGACTCCCAAGCAGCTGGGACCACAGGCGCATGCCACCATGCCCGCTTAAGACACAGCTACATTTTGAGTGTGAATATTTTCCCAGGCATTTTCTACACACATACATATGTATTTACATTTATTTTACAAAATCATAGTATCCACAGTGTTTTGTTTTGTTTTTAATTGCACTTTAAGTTCTGGGGTACATGTGCAGATCTTGCAGGACTGTTGCATAGGTACACACATGCCATGGTGGTTTGCTGCCTCCATCCCCCCGTCACTACATCAGGCATTTCTCCCAATGTTATCCCTCCCCCACCTTCTCACCCCCCACTGTCCCTCCCCTAGCTCCCCACCCCCCAGCAGACACCAGTGTGTGATGTTCCCCTCTCTGTGCCCATTTGTTCTCATTGTTCAACACCCATCTATGAGTGAGAACATGTGGTGTTTGGTTTTCTGTTCTTGTGTCAGTCTGCTGAGAATGATGGTTTCCAGATTCATCCATGTCCCTACAAAGGACATGAACTAATCCTTTTTTTATGGCTGCATAGTATTCCATGGCCTATGTGTGCCACATTTTCTTTGTCCAGTCTATCATTGATGGGCATTTGGGTAGGTTCCAGGTCTTTGCTATTGTAAACCGTGCTGCAGTGAACATACATGTGCATGTGTCTTTACAATAGAATGATTTATAATCCTTTGCGTATATACCCAGTAATGGGATTGCTGGGTCAAACGGAATTCCTATTTCTAGGTCCTTGAGGAATCGCCACACTGTCTTCCACAATGGTTGCACTAATTTACACTCCCACCAACAGTGTAAAAGTGTTCCTATGTCTCCACATCCTCTCCAGCATCTGTGTTTTTAACTGAATATGACATGCATATTTCTCCCTGTAACCATGTATTCTTCTAAAACTGACTTTTTAGCACAGTATGTGGAAATGTCATGATTCGTTTTTCTCATCCCCAGTAGAACATCCAGACACTTTGTCTTTCATGGGCACCCTCCTGCCCCAACCTTCCTTGCCTTTCTTATCTCGTAAAAAAGGGGCTGGCGGTGCAAGGGCCTGCTGGGACACCCTCTCTGGATAGTTTATGTCAACTCCTGGGCCTGTTTCCTCAGACTTCCTTCTCCATCTTGCTTCCCCTCCTAAGCCCTTCCTGGCCTGGACCTTTTGGGAACAGAGGGTCTCTAAGAGTTCCTTGCTCTCTTCTCTTGCTTCCTTCTCCCCAGCCTGAGATTTTCAAAAGATGACGAGGTGCTCCAGTGACCCTGAGTGTCCCCATCACACTCTTACAGTAGTCACAGGCCAATCCATCAGCCAGTGATAAGGGTGTGGGGTTCCACACATCTCTCCACCACAGCCTTGTCCCCATTCCACAGACGGGGACGCTGCAGCTCAGGCAAGTCCAGTGGCTGACCAAGGGCTACACCTGCCGAATTCAAGCCAGGTCTACCTGGGGCCCACCTCAGGCTTATCAGCCTCATCATACCCATAACCATCCGGAGCTCTAGCCTGTGGAGAGCCACATCCCATCTCGACCACAGACACCTGTCCACCTGTCTCCCCCAAGAGAAGAAATACAACACTTTCCTCCCATTAATCACCCACCATGCTGGGCTCCATGTTCCTGCCTTCCTAATGTACCATACTTCTTCCCACCAAGGCACAGGCTCCCCTTCCACCTGCCTTCCCTCCTGCCTGCCTTGCTAACTCCTAACACAGCCTTTAGATAGGGGTTCCATGTCACCTCCCACCCAAGCAAGGAGGTTCCCCTCACATTATATATGTTCAAAGCGCTGTGTAATTCGTCTTCCTAGCATTTGCCATGGACCATATATGTATTCTTTTACAATTATTTCAATCTGTGTTTCCCCCACTAGACTGTCGGCTCCCGAAGGACAGGAACTATGTCATTTTTGTCATTCATCCTAACCCTAGGACCAGACACAGTAGCCCACATTCAGTGTATCTGTTGAATGAGCAGCTGCTCAGAACATAAGCCAACTGGCCGAGTCCACTCTCAGGCCATTCCTCAACCCCACCGGGCCCTGCATCCTCATACCACTCCCTCCTTTCTGATGGGTCTGGGTTGATCTCTCTGGGCTCACAGTGGTGGGGTGGCATCCTTGACTAGTTCTTGTTTTATTCTGAAAGTTACATGCTGGCATTGAAAAAAAGAAAATCACATCATAGAGAAGGTCATAGGCCGGGTGCAATGGCTCACGCCTGCAATCCGAGCACTTTGGGAGGCTGAGGTGGGTGGATCGTCTGAGGTCAGGAGTTCGAGAACAGCCTGGCCAATGTAGCAAAATCCTGTCTCTACTAAATATACCAAAAAAAAAAAAAAAAAAAAAATTAACCAGGTGTGGTGACACACACCTGTATTCCCAGCTACTTGGGAGACTGAGGCAGGAGAATCACTTGAACCCTGGAGGTGGAAGTTGCAGTAAGCAGAGATCATGTCACTGCACTCCAGCTTGGGTGACAGAGCAAGACTCCATTTCAAACAAAACAAAACAGAAAAGGCCATAAAATCAAATTGTTTTTTTCCATATAAACACAACTTCAGTCTTACCCCTTTAATTTATTGTTACGTGTTATCTATCCCAAATTGCTACACATGTATTAACATACATATTTTCAGCCTTCAAAAAACAGAGATGAAACAATCCAGGTCTGCTTTCTGCAGAACCACCTGCATTTGTTAAAAATGACCAGGGTCTGCTGTGTGCCCTCCACACTCACTGTGACGATCAGAAGGAAGGAGAGAGTTTACCCACAAACAGTTCTGTCTCATCTTCCTCCTAGCAGCCCTTCCAAGACTTGACAGCACTTCCTACATCCCCTTTCCATCATCTCTCCTCCAGCCTAAACAGTGCGAGCTTGTTATTTTAAGCATCCTCATAAGGCCCCTGTGCAAGTCCCTGTATCCGGCTGTGTGGCCTCCAGAATAAATTCCGTGCAGCTGGAGGGCCAAGGAGGCATGTGGAGCTCCACGGAGGAAAAGACGGTCAACGTGTCACGTGACCATGGTTTCTGGTTAGACCAGATGCTCACAAGGAGAACTGATTGTGGACACTAACGATGCTGACCACAAACTGGAAGAGGCAGCAGAAACACCCATCTGGAAGGCTTCCTCTCCGCATCTTATTTGTCATGGGGTATTGGAGAGTTGTGTGTAGGAAATGCCTATGACTAAGAAATTTTCAATTGCGTTCTCTTTTGACCTTGAGCTTTGAAATCCATGCAAATTCTTCCCCTCCCGCCAGCATCACTGTAGCCCCCTCACCTCTTCTTCTCCACAGTCACACTCCTCCCCATCTTCCAGGTACCCGTTCCCACACCTCCGGCCTCCGTACAGCGTCCTGGTGTCTGGCATGTTGGAGAGACACATTCCACCGCCTGACTGCAGATACCTGTCCAGCTCCCTCCTGTTGCATCCATTGAACACTCTGGGAAAGGGGTGCCTGGTAGAGGACAAGGCGGGAATTAGTGAGGAGTCTGCGCGTCCAGCAGTCAGGCAGGTGTCACTCCTGATACCCACGGGGCTGACTCCACCTGGGCTCAGACTCCCACAGTCTCACACACACACATTCTGGCCTTTTAGAACATCTACCGATATATTCATTCAGAAATCTGTCATCCTTAGTGATGACATATTAACCACAGAGCATTTTATTTTTTTCACTTTGCATGGAGGAAGTATTTGTGAATCAGGAGCAGCAATTTCTGCCCATTGCATGATGGGGCTAAAATAAGGAAAGGGTTGTGAGTGTGTTACAACAGGTCTTCCGAGCCTCAGAGCTGAAGAAAACACCAGCTGACTCAAACTTTTCCTGAAGCTGATACCAGGTGAATATTCTCTTACAACAGAGGACCAGGCCAAAAAATACCAAGATCCTAAGTTTCATTTCTTTTTGGGCCAGTGATCTCATCTCTGTTCTAAGGATGCAGAGGGCACTCCAAACTCAGTCAGCCAGCTCACAAACACACGCTCTTTATCACCGGCGTATGGAAGAGCCTGGGTCCCACTTTGGTAAAAAGGACAAAAAGTGCGACCATCTGGGTCCACAAAAGGAGGGTTATCCTGCTCCCAATTCTCTAAACCAATTGAAGGTTAAACCCTCAAAAAAAGAGGTTTTCCTTCAGTGGGAAGGTATGCTACAAGGCATCTGTTACTAATAATTGTTCATCTATCCACATTTGTGAATAACTTAAAAATGAATTGGAATAGTAATCAATATAACTCTCAATCATTTGTCTTCATATATGCTTTTGAGATTTAGAAAGAAACGGACAGGCTTAATTAACCATGAGCTCCTAGGGATCTGTACATAACTATGAAGCTGTAGCATAATTTTTTTTTTTTTTTTGAGACAGAGTCTTGCTCTATTGCTCAGGCTGGAGACTGGAGTGCAGTGGCACAATCTTGGCTCACTGCAACCTCCGATTCCCAAGTTCAAGTGATTCTCCTGCCTCAGCCTCCCTAGTAGCTGGGACCACAGGCATGTACCACCACACCTGGCTAATTTTTGTATTTTTAGTAGAGACAGGTTTTCACCATGTTGGCCAGGCTGGTCTTGAACTCCTGACATCAGGTGATCCATCCACCTCGGTCTCACAAAGTGCTGGAATTATAGGCATGAGCCACTGCACCCAGCCAACATCATCCTTGCTATGCCACAGCTGAGAAGGTTTTAAAAATGGATACCAGAGCTCTTAGAAAGCTGCACTGTTTCTTGGAGACACTGAAACACCATTCTCTAAGAATCATAAGCAGGTCCTAATGGTCTGGGGTGAGGGAACACAAGGTTCCACCATGATGCCTTCCAAGGAACCTGGAAGAACCCAACGCTTTGTGCTACCTGAGTCCAGATGCTAGAAGATAAGTCCTTTGAAGAAACTCTCTAATTCTCTTCAAAAAGGCTCCGGTTTTAAAATTCCCTCATGACCATGGGGAGATGCAGCTGCCTTGCCCTGTTCGTCACGGGTAATGCAGCCTGCAAACTCCCTCAGAAGTCACTGTGGGGTATGTGGATGGGATGGTTCCCTTCTTCAACTTGTTCTGTTACACTCAAACTTTCAGTGAAGCCTGGAATTGAAACAGCATTGATCCAACACTCTTGGGATCGAAGAATTAAGGGTTGTGGCTATGATCAAAATGAATCCTCTTCAAAAATTCATGAAATAGGCTGGGCGCTCACACCTGTAATCCCAGCACTTTGGGAGGCCAAGGTGGGTGGATCATCTGAGGTCGGAAGTTTGAGACCAGCCTGACCAACATGGAGAAATTCAACCTCTATTAGAAATACAAAATTAGCTGGGTGTGATGGTGCATGCCTATAATACCAGCTACTCAGGAGGCTGAGGCAGAAGAATTGCTTGAACCCAGGAGGCAGAGGGTGCAGTGAGCCAAGATCATGTCATTGCACTCCAGCCTGGGCAACAAGAGTGAAACTGTGTCTCAAAAAAAAAAAATTATGAAATAAAAAAGATACATATGGCCAAGCCAATTTTGTAACTCAACACCTTAAAACAAAAATTAAGTAAAACTAGGATCACACCAGCACCAAACCTCCTGCTGAAAATGTAAGTTCTTGCACACATTTGCCTTGGTCTTCTCTCAATTTCTTTGTTGTAAAAACCACATTTTTTGGTCCCATCAGAAGTATAACGGAGCCTCAGTGGGGCCAGCTGTGAGGAACCCCTGGTGTGCTCAGGTGTGCTCGCCTCCTCCCCATCCTCCCTCTTCCTGTTTGACTCACCCAGTGGCAGCCGCCATGATGCACCCCCCGTCAGCCGCACTGGCCGAGCAGCAATCGGCAGAATCATGGCTCATGCCAAAGTTGTGGCCCATCTCGTGGGCCATGGTAGCAGCCACACCAATGGCATTCTCGGAGTGATCCTGCTCAGAAGACAGAGTTGAGGTCAAAGTCAAGGGGACAGATCTGCCCCTCATCCCTGCCTTTTCCTTAACCAAGACTTATAGGTCTCCACCAATTCCACTGTCACTGAGTGTACAGACTCTCCATGTGGGCCTCTGACTGCAAGGCTGAATCTGCTGTCACTAAGAGGAAATCAAATGCTTAAAAGTCCACGTTTCTGAGTTCTCAAAGGTTGCAGGCCACAACTGACCTACTCATGACCTACTCATGAACCAATAAATGCTTTCTGAATAAATGAAAGAGGAAGATTTTCCCCCATTATTCTTCTTAGCGTATCTCTGTCTCTCCAGACACAAGGGAATCGACGTAGAAAACACCACCTTGATTCAAACACACAGTGTACTTGGCTTAGTGTTTCCTGAAAGCCACACAAGACAGATGAACTCCAGGCATAGCACTTTACATACTGTCTGATGTGTAACTGTCAGATGCAAAACCTAAAGAAATCAAGGAGAAAAACCCCAGCAGGAAAGAAGCAGCAGAAAGAGATTTACTAAACATGGATGTGTGTTTCCTGCATTATTTCATTTAATTCACATTCTTATCCTAAGAAGATCAACTGTAAAACCATCTGTTTTTTCCAGCTGAGGACACTCAATAACTCGCCCAAAGTCACACAGCTGTTCTTTGAACCCAACAGGCTCAGACAGACCCTAGAGCCTGTGGTTTTGGCCATCAAGCTACTTTGTCAATAAATACAGAATGGATAGAGGGACAGACAGATGGAGAGAAGTCTTCCTTGAAACGCACTTCACAGGTCAGAAATGAAGAGTCAAAACAAACAGTCTCACAAAGTCAGAGTGAATTTCAAAAGAAGGCAGTAATTTTCTAACCATGACTTTGACATATGTTCTTCTTTCTTAATGACATACATAACAGTGCAAGACCTGGAATAAAAACACTTTAACCTCTACTCTCTTAGTATTTTCCAGCCCCTGGTTTGGTACATATGAGATCTAGTGATGTGTTCGTGTAATCTCTTCAGGGTTCCTGAGCTTGAAAATACAGAATGAACTATAATAAATGAAAATTCACCCTTGAGTACCTCCATCTCTTAGAGCTTAATGACTCCATTTTAAACAACTGCTCTTCCTGATGTCAAAGCTTTTTCTGCTACAATAACAAATATCAACTTATTTTTCCAAACCTGACCTCTGGTCTTATAAGGCTGTTCAGCCCCCTCTGCAGCACACACATATGGTCTGAGACTCACCATGTTGACTCCTCCAGACTGGTACACGGAGCACATGGCCATGAGGGGGGCCAGGCCGATGGTGGTGCCGTGGAAGGACATGCCCCTGCAGGAGGCAAGGAGAGAGGGGGACTGGGAGGGCGCTGAGAGGGCTATTCCAATATGCCCAGGCGTAGGTGGCCATCATGGTGTTCCTTGGCCCCTCTGACTTTCCCAGGTCATTCCCAAGGAGAGAGGCCCTTATAACCAGGCCAGCTGGACAACTTCCAGCTCACCACACCTCTCACTTCCTGTCACCTACTCCCTCGTGGCTCCAGAGAAACACAAAAAGAGAAAGGTCACTTATCCCCCACAATATACCCAGAGCCGATTCCTTGGAAGGAAATGGGCAGGGTTCGCAAAGCTGTATCGCATTCCTGCTGCACAGGAAAAGGTCAGAGAGAAAGGCTGATGAAGGGAGGCACAGCCTCTGATGGTGAAGTGAATCATGCCCACTTCCACCAGCTGCCAGGATCCAATGCCTTATCCCTGGCTCTGTACTGTGAGTCCAGAGGTGGTAGGGGTGGGGGCACTGGGGCAGCAGCTGTGGGGCTGATGATGCTTCATTCCCACATAATCAGGGGCCAAGGAAACAGCTGTGTCCCATCAGGAGCCTCACAAAGTGCAGCTGGGTGCAAGAATGAGCCGTTTCTGCCTTTGTTTTGCAATGGGATCCTAATCTTCGAGCAGCAAGCTGTATTTTCTCCAGTTGAATACATCTCTCTTTCAGTTATACACATCCAGGTAGGGGAGAAGCAAAAAACAGAAACAAAAACAAAAACAAACAAACAAAAACACTACCAGTGTTTCTGTGCCTGCCAGAAACGTAATGCATTTAAAGAATCTATATGGAAATTCATCACATGGTACTTATCTCCATGTCTGTCTTCTTATCTAGACCATGATATAACTGACAGCAAGACTATCTTAACTATTTTAGGATCACTAGCACCTAGCACAGAATCTAACACATAGTGGGTCTATAATAAATGTTTGCTGAATTACAGGCAGACTTGTCTTCACAGAAACAATCTGAGAAGAAATACGCAAAATCTATGCAAATTGATATGAAGTCCTACTAGTTATTTGCCAAATGTTCCAAAGTTCAGGCCAAAACTTCTAATAACCAAAGACTCTTCCTGGGTGAATGCACTGTCATGGAGTAACTACTCACAGCCCAGTTATTTTTGGGATGGTTATTTTTCCCAGTGTCTTTAAAAGGATAAGCCAAGATTTAAATGATTATTTACTCAGCTATATTTAGGGAACAGAAGAAAAATGGTTTTAAGGCCAGGTACCATAGCTCACGCCTATAATTCCAGGACTTTGGGAGGGTGAGGCAGGCGGATCGCTTGAGACCAGGACTTTAAGGCCAGCTTGGACAACATGGCATAAACCCTGTCTCTGTTAAAAATATAATAATTAGCCGAGCGTGATGACGCACGCCTGTAATCCCAGCTACTCGGGAGGCTGAGGCACTAGAATTGCTTGAGCCTGGGAGGCGGAGTTTACAGTGAGCCGAGATCCTGCCACAGGCGACAGAGGGAAACTCTGTCTCAAAAAAGAAGAAGAAAGTGGTTTTATTATCTATATGCCTTTTGTTGTAACTGCCTGAAAATACCTTCAGAAGTCAACACCAATAAATACCAAATAATCACCTTGGGGCACTGTCACATGCTACTGCCACCACCATCACTGTCTCTCTGGGGTTGATGAAAATCCAGCACAATCCCTCCTCAACGTCTCCCTCCCACCAAACCCTCAGTTCCTGCACTGTCTGCCGCTTCGACTACCTCAGACACTCAGCCCTGAGCTCCTTGGGAACCAAGTGAAGGACCACACAGGAGCCCCCTTTCCTGTGCCTGTGTTGAGAGATCAGCTCATGTACCAGAACAAAGTGCCAAGAAGATTGAGGTGAGCCTCTCAGAAAGTCTAAGACCTGATCAAGAGTCAGTCCTTCCCAAATACATACTCAATGATCTCAGATGCTCAATGGAATATGGGTAAGTTTAATTTTCCCATTAGACTGTAAACACTTCTTAGGACTATTGTGACTCAGGGTTTTAAACATTTTCTGGGGTATGCTGGGTACAGAGCGCATGTTTAGGAAATGCCTGTCTCTGGACCAGGGAGTCAGAATGGCCTTGTACAACCAACACTCACCATGGGGCAAACTCTGAGCACGGTGGGCAAAGGCTTTGCAGCCAAAGACAACACAACACATGGAAAAAGGCTATTTACGTGATTAACTGGGCGTTGTCGTGGTTCTTCTGGGAAAGTAGCTTGCGCCTCCAACTAAGAAAGGACCAGAGGGTAGAGTATGGATTCTCTGAAACTTCACACATGTTCCCATGAGTCCACACTTCCAAGCCCACAAGAGCAATCCGGATGTTCAAGGATCGGTAAAACTGAAAGGACACAGAAAAACCACGGTATCTGTCAATATCACCTGGGATTTAAAAGCCCCTTCCTTTCAGTCTGTTGGAGCTTGAGATTAAAAAGAAAAAAGCTAAAAATAAAAAATAAAACTAAATTGAAAAAAAAAAAGCCCCTTCTCAGCCTAAGAGCTCAGAGCACAGACACTAGATTTCTCTTCTGCCCATGGCTCCAAGGGAAGGAGGGAAGTGGTGTTACCGACATTTTTTAGAAACAGAAAATGAGATCTTGAGAGAGAGCACAACATTCTGGTGGCAGCACTGCTGTGACTTTGCTTAGAGATGACTGAGACAGAAGATAAAATTGCTTTCAGATATGAACAGGTCTATTATGTGGAAAAATGACGAGCGTTGTTCTGCATGATTTTCAAGTAGGGCTTAGGTCAATAGGTAAAACAGACAGGATTATAAATTTCATTTTAAAATAGGAAGAAAGCTTTCAAACAAAGCTGGTCATGAGTAAGCTCAAAGCTGAGCTTTGCTGTTTTCTGTAATCAGTGCCCTTGGTCAGGCTGTCTGGTACAATTTTTTTCTCCCAATTCCTTACATGGGCCTTATCTTTCTCATGAGTATCTAAAAAGTTCTCTTATATATGAATTTTTGAAAACTGCTTCATTGAGGTATAATTTGCATACCATAATGCCCACCTATTTTAAGTGTTATGACTCAATACTTTTTGGTAAATTTACCAAGTTTTAAAGCCATCACTGGCCGGGTGCCATGGTTCACACCTGTAATCCCAGCACTTTTGGAGGCCAAGGTGGGTGGATCACCTGTGGTCGGGAGTTCCAGACCAGGCTGACCAACATGGAAAAACTCCCTCTCTACTAAAAATACAAAATTAGCCAGGTGTGGCGGCGCATGCCTGTAATCCCAGCTACTTGGGAGGCTGAGGCAGGAGAATCAGTTGAACCCAGGAGGCAGAGGTTGCAGTGAGCCAAGAGCACACCACTGCACTGCAGCCTGGGCAACAAGAGCGAAACTCCATCTTAAAAAAAAAAAAAAGCCATCAACATAATCCAGTTTTAGAATATTTTCATCACATCAGTGATCATTTCCGGTTCTCACCCTCAGCCCCAGGCAACCATGCATCTACTTTGCTTTTATTCTACCTTTTCTGAACAGTATGTGGTTTTGCGTATCTGGCTTCTCTCACTTACCACAATGTTTTTGAGATGTATCCATGTTGCAGACTGAATCCGTTTCTGATTTCTCTTTATTGCTGAACAATATTCTTTTGTATGGATATACCAAATTATATTAATACATGGATATTTTATTACAACATGTCTCTCTCTCATTTTGAAAGTAAGTAAGTATAAATGATGTAAAAGTGCATTGATAATGCTTACTCTTCAAATTCCCTTCCCCAATCCCTGGATAGTCTCAGGGTTTGTCAACGATACAATAAGCAGGTTGCAAGCAATAGACTCCTTAGTAATCTTCAGAGTTTTGTCCAACCCAGACATCCTAAAATTCTGTAAGCTAGATCTGACTCAACCTCCTCGAGGCTAGAGCTACATCTAATCTTCAGGGCCTGACATCTTTCATCTCATACAAATGTAAGCAGGAGGAAGGTTTTCTTTAAAGCTGAACCACTGAAAGGTGTGAGTGCAACGGGTTTTTTGATGGGTTCACCCTACAAATACTGAGCCAGTGACTTAATAAAAAGCTCCATGTATGGAGAGGTCACAGGAGATACCACCTTAATCCAAAACTGGTAGAGACCGCCCAGCTGAAAAGAATAATCATAGCACCAACATTTTCCCACCACTTTTTATGTACTAAGCACTGAGGCTTAGAGAAGTTAAGGAACTTGCCCAAAGTCTCAGCAAGAAGATGACGGAGCTAGGATCAAGGCCCAAATCACCACCCAGAGACAATATGTGACCCTTTACTGCTTCAGTGCTATGGTGTCTACACATCCAGATAATCCCCTCACTGCAGAAAACGCTGGTCAAGATGGGCTCCAGAGTCAGTGAAATATCAGTTTATTTCAATGGAAATTTTGATTTTTCTGTTTTGTGCTATTTCAACCATTACAGAAAATTAGAGGTTCAGATTCCAATTTGAATTTGCTTCACTAGGGAGCTTTTGAAGGAAGTAAACTTGGCTTTTTTTCAGTTACAGAAAAACATTTTGGATTGGGTTCATGATTCGGCAAATGAGTGCAATTCATTCCAGTTTTAGTTCAGCAATAGTTCAGTTCAAGTAGCTGGGTCAGCAAGTTCCAGAGAAGTGGGTGTGGCTTCCCTCACCCGCCAGGAGGGACTAACACCAGCCCGAGGAGAGACTGCACAGGATGCGCAGGCCACCCAGGCTCAGGGCTTCCAGTAACGACTGGGGCTGGCTGGTGCCCCGCTCTTCTCCCTTCGTTGTTGCCAGCGCCCTTGGTCCCATCACCTAGCCCACAGAGGGGATACTCAGCCAACTCCCCACCTGCCAGATCTCCAAACAATAGATGTGTCACATGTGTGAAAGCAGAGTCAGCCTCCCATATTCTCCCCAGGGAAATAAGCTTCCCTTGTTTTCCCAGATGTTGAGTGTTTGGGTTGTATGATGATTTAAATGGTATTCTTGAGTGAGTCAGGAGCTAGAGGACTGGACTGTGTCCCTAGAGTCTGTCCTTCCAGGAAATGCCAGGGTTTGACTTTTACCTATCACTGACCACTGACCTGTGTTTCCAGAGCCATCTAGAGCAGAAAAAAAACACATGGGCATAGAAACCGCCATCCGATGACTTCAGAACACGAGTATATTTGGTTATTAATCCCTAAAAAATATTTTAAGTGATCTTCTATAGGCTCTAGTGTTTAGAAAAAAAAAAAAAAAAGATTTTCCCTTTAAGCCTGGAATTCATGAATCCTTAGCAGGCCCAAGGTTAAGCTTCATTAATTTTACAAGTGTTCTAAAATTGCTCAATAAATGCTACCAGATTCTCCAAGAGATCTGTGATCCCAAACACATTAAAGCCTACTTTTAAAAACTATATACTACTAGCCTACCAAGAGGCTACTGTCATTCTAGGTTACCTATTCTGCATTTTGTAACTGTAACAAATACCCTCTTTCACATATACAACGTATTTCCAAATCCCAGACCAGCCTGTTTCAGTAAAATTCAAAAATGTAGGTATTTCCAAAAAACATCTTCTAAAAGGTCCTTACCTAGGAAAGCTAACCATTTGCACATCCTTCCTAAGAGACAAGACATAATTTAGGATAGTCTTACAGATGGAGACTTTACAGTTGAGCCCCAAGCAGCCCACTTCTCAACTTTTAAGGCTGTGTGTCTTTCCCACTCTGCCATTTCAATTCCCTCCTAAGTCAGACAATACTTGGGCTTATTTCTGGAAGGAACGTTAAAGGACCTTAAAAGATTCTTAAACTGGGCTCTTCCATGCCCCAAGCCACTCGGGAGCCCCTGCAGGGGTAGGAGGAAGGGGTCAGGAGGACAGTGTTCTGGGTCCTCACCCCTGCTCCCGCTTAGAGCAGTCTGTTTTCATCTAACTTTTATATTAGACATTGGTATAAGATTTCATTTTTTAAAATTCCACCAGAAAAATAAAAATAACAACCCCCACCAACCAAAAAAAAGCATGGATTTGGGACAGACCTTCTAAGATGAAAAAAAAAATTGCAACCCAAAAAAAATGACTTGCTTGCCTAAGAATACATAGTTCAGGGCTCTGTCATGACTGCCCTGCACCTCTATGGCATTGCTCACTCCCTTACAGAAGCTGGCTGGGGCGGCCAATCCAGCAGAAAGCAGCTCCAGTGCCCTTGGAAGTGCTGGCACCTGGCACCTTTCCCACAAAAGTACACACCTGGTCTCACCTTATCAACGTAGTTGGCGATCTCAATGAGCTTGTGTTTGGTGGCGTCCTGGTCTCGTCGATTCTTCTGAAACTAAATGCAACAAGCAGAACCATGTGAGATCCCAGAACCTCTTGCATGACGCTTCCTGTGCCACATTACTTATCTTTGAATTTGTTCTTATTTTCTTCTGTCTCCTATGAGAAGTCATTTTTATGCAATTGTCTTCCCCGCCACAGTAAGAGCTTATGGAGGGCAGGACCTGGCACATCGATCTTCATGTCCCCAGCTACTAGCGCAATAATTATACTTATTGAATTGCCTTCCTCTAACCCTTGAAGCACATCTTATTCTCCTGCCCTTCAAACTACAAGGCCTCTGGCAAACTCCCACTGGGGCTTAGGAGGACTGATCCAATCCTCACTTCGGTCATCACCCCAACATGAAGCCACCATCACATAGATCTCACGAGGCTTCCCTTCATGTGGCCAATCAGCAATGCTCGAATTGTTGCTGAATGCCTGCTATGGGCAAGGAATTGTGTTTAGCCTATGTAGGACACAAAGAAGTGTGAGATCTTGGTCCTAAGCCTAGAGGAGCTTCAGTTAAAACAGAGAGGGCCAGAAATAACTGTGGCAGATCCTGAGTGACAGATCTGTACTTAAGGAGCATACAACTGAAATGGTCTAAGAACACCTGCTGGGAAAATACTCGCAGAAATAACCACAGTGGGAGGCCATGTGCATGACATGAGTGCTAACAATGAGGCCATATGAACTGGCAAATATGCTTCATCTTGCACGCCACTCAGACCCATTGGCAGTGCCCTCTACAGTGAGAAGAATTCTGAGACTACATCAGATTCAATCAGACCTTCCTTTCTTTCTTCCTTCCTTCCTTCCTTTTCTTTTTTTCTTTTTGAGATGGCATCTCATCCTGTCGCCCAGGCTGGAGTGCAGTGGCATGATCGCGGCTCACAACCTCCACCTCCTGGGTTCAAGCAATTCTCCTGTCTCAGCCTCCCAAGTAGCTGAGATTACAGGCGTGAGCCACCACGGTCAGCTAATTTTTGTATTTTTAGTACAGACTGGGTTTCACCATGTTGGTCAGGCTAGTCTCAAACTCCTGACCTCAAGTGATCCGTCTGCCTCAGCCTCCTAAAGTGTTGGGATTACAGGCGTGAGCCACCGCGCCTGACCACAATCAGAGATTTCTAACCAAGCATAGGAAAAAAAGCTGTGTTCCATTAGAAATATCTGCCATGGGTACCAGAAAGAGGACATTTCAGTGTCAATATCTCCTATTTACCATTCCTGCCTCAAAAAGACCATTCTCTCTCAGCTACAATAATGAAGGAAATCTTCACAGTGTGAAGAGAAAATCTGCTACAACTGCCAATTCAATTTGCAAATGAAGGGCACGTCCTATACACTGCCATTGTTACATAGAATCTGGGTCCTCTCTCATTTACCTGGGATGTCCACTATACATGTTACTTCAATTCCAAACCTTCACGTCTTTTTCCTCCACCCCATCCCGCAAGAGTAAGCAAGAAACAAGAATGGGCAAGTAAAACACCCATATTTGTTTGGCTAGAGGTGTGTCCCGGCCCTGATATGGGAAAGAAATCCATCATTTCCCTTTCCCCCACTGCTTATGGACATTCTTAGGCTTCCTTAAAACTGCCACTCATCAGAAGGGACTCTGTCACCATCGCTTTCTGGAGTTAGATTCAGTGTGACACTGTAACTTAGACCTTTCCAAGGTGTTAATCCAGAAGTTTCTCATTATAGAGGCCTCCCATTTCTAAACTGGTCTCTCGGCGTAGATAGTGTTGCAGCATTTCCATTCATTTAATAATATTTATGAGAACATCAGGGTCAGATTTCATTCTCTTTCAAAAAAATATTAACCTTTTCTTCAAAGAACTGCCCAATGACACCACCATAATTTAAGGAACGTATTCTGCTGAAGCAGGAGTCGGCAAACCTTTTCTGCAAAGGCCAAGTTAGGCTTTGCGGCCGTATAATCTGTGCTCCAACTCCTCAACTGTGCAGTGGTGGCTTGGAAACAGCCCTGGGTAATACAGAAACCAATCTTTTACTGTAACACAGCCTGGCTGTGTTGCAGTAAAAGATTCTTTGCAAAAACACAGAATAGGCTGGATTTGACCACGGGGTATAGTTTGCAGAGCCCTGATCTGAAGAAAGGACTGCTTCAAGCTTACATTTTCTAGGGTGACACAGCAAGTACCACATGCAGCACCTTTCCCAGACACTTCGCACTGTGCCAGCATCATGGAGATCCTTTACAGTCCTGTGCTTACAGCTATCCTGTCTACCCTACAACAGCCCATCCTACTCTTTATTCCCCCTTGGACTCCGTTCCACCTGAGGAACCAATAAGCTGAGAACCACCCTAGAAGCTCCCACCTAGGCCCAGGGAGCGAGGAGCTGCCTGCTCATTTTTGCCGCTGACAACTCTTTCTCTAGGCAGCAGCAGTCTCGCTCTCCCCATCTGTGTCTCCACTCCCTCCTCTGCGTTCAGAGCCCCGAGGTGAAAGCTATCCTGTTTCTGAAGCAGGTTATAAATCCCAGTAAAGCAGCCCTCCCCTTTCCTGCCTTCCTGTACTCCCAGATTAATTAATTAATTGTCAAGAATACGTTTCTGTCTGCAGAGGATGGAGACAGGTGGAGAGGGGTGGAGAGCCGGTGATTCGTGAGCCTGTGAACCCGGCCTGGTCTGTTACACCCCCACCCCAGTCTCTCACATGAATCATTCAAAGCTTTCAGTGGAGGGGTGCCCAGAACTCTGACAAATGATCACAGTCCCTTATCCGCCACAGCTGCATGAATCACAGCCCTGTTGGGAACCCAGGGCTGTTGCTGAGACACTCTCCTTTGTAAGAGAAAGACGGCTCTGGGTGACACCAGAGTCCTGGAGGCACCTTGAGCAGACACTTTTTCTCAGGCGGTAACCTGAGACCCTAGACGTCAGGATACAGAAGATGCTTAATCCCTGCCTCCCACTATGCTGCCCACTCCTCCAGCTGCTGGAGATTCACACCCAATGGGTTTTAAACTCTGCCCAGAGATTCCTCTGGGAACAGTGTAAAGCCAAAGGTGAGAAACACCCTACCTTTAAACTAGAGCAGCTGGGATCTACATGCTTAACTATTGGGATTCTCAGAACTTCCATCTAACCAAAGCCTTCTGTAGCTAGAAAAAAATGGCTCAAGATCATTGTATTAGATGATCATAGATGCAAAGCTTAAATGGAAAAACGTCCCAGAGTCAGAGGAGCTCAGTTTTCTTCCAGCGGTCCTCCACTACGGGCAGTCACACAGAGCAGGCCAGTCAGTTACCTCCTGCCACAACTGTGGAGCCCCAGCTGGCTTTTAAACCAGCTTTGGATTTGGCTCCTCACACTATTCCCCCACCCTATACACACACTAGTCTTTGGAGAGGAAACAGGAAACAGAACACACGCACGCGTGCATGCACACACACAAACAGCTGTTGGAAAAACCAGTATCAACATCAATTAAAAAGTTAAACGCTTTTCAAAGCAGAGAACAATGTTCCCTCAGCCTGGAATGCCCTTCACCTCCACTCCTCTGCCCAGTTAACTCCTCCTTGTCTTTCAAGATAGCCCAAGGGCCACCTCCTTCTGCCACTAACATCCAGTGACTAACACTCGAGGACCTTCTGGCCTGCAGCCTAGTGCTCCTCCCACTACCAGGCCCTGCCTCTAGGACACACACTTTGGAATTGTGACTAGGTTCAGCCAGCCGCCTTAGAATGAGGTCTTTGGGGAGATGGTAGCTAAACTATGTAGACGGGATACAGACAGACTGGAGTTGCGATGGGCTCTATCCTCAGGGGACACCGAGGCCAGCGTGTGCCCTGCTTGAACACAGCAAGCACTCAGCTCATAATGACATCCAATGCACAGAAGATGCGCTTAGCAGTTATATGGTGGAGTTGCTACACAAAGTGAGAATTGGAGGTAACATCTGGCTAATTCGGGTAAATACGGGCTCTGGGGCCTAAAGTCACTCTTTAGGTATCTGCTTCAATGTCAGAGAAGCTTTCCCTAATTCGCAAAACCATGTCGGATCCCCCACTGTCTGCTCTCTCATCCTCCCAATGGTCCATCTTAGTGGTTATCACACTTTGGACCTATAGGATTGTGGGCTGTTCCTGCAAATTCTGCAATGCCAGGGGAGGGTCTGTCTTCTCGAGATTGGTATGTCCAGGTGCTTGGCACATAACAGAAAATCAAGAAATCATTGATGAATAAAGAAAATATATGCTGAGCTAGGTGAGGGTTCATCAAATCCTCGAACCTATCTGATTCGAGGAATATGGAGTTAAAGGCTGAACTACTATGCCTTTAGGTCAGTGATTCTCAAACTGGCCTGTGCAACCCAATCACCCAGAGGTCCTGTTAAAACATGGATTGCAGGACCCCACCCTGACAGTCTGGGATTCAGCAGGGTAGGGGTAGGGCCTAATAATTTGCATTTTATACAAGTTCACAGGTGCTGCTGATGCTGGCATTCTGGGGACCACATTTTGGGGACTATGGCTTTAGGTCACCACTTAGCATCAATATGATTATAAAAATGGACCCACACACATGGGCAAGAAAATAGTTTTCAATCAGATGACTGGGAATATATTTATTATCTTTGTAAAAAAAAAAAAAAAAAGAAAGAAAGTTTTAGAATTTCCATAGACAATTCATAGACTCCTAAGAATAAACACCAGAACCTAAAGGTCTTCAGACCCAGTTCAAGAAATATTAATCAGATAACTGTCTCAATTTTCTATGTGATTGATGTAACAAGCCAGGAGAGGCTTAGCTGTACGTCGTAGGGGGAGTGGAGCGAGCTCCCCACAACAAAATTTAAAATGGCAAAAAGAGCCTTTTGTCAGATTTTTTTTTTCTTTGAGATGAAGTTTCGCTCTTGTTGCCCAGGCTAGAGTACAGTGGCGCATCTCAGCTCACTGCAACCTTCACCTCCCAGGTTCAAGCAATTCTCCTGCCCCAGCCTTCCATGTAGCTGGAATTACAGGCACTTGCCACCATGCCTAGCTAACTTTGTATTTTTAGTAGAGACAGGGTTTCACCATGTTGGCCAGGCTAGTCTCGACCTCCTGACCTCACGTAATCTACCTGCCTTGGCTTCCCAAAGTGCTGGGATTACAGGCATGAGCCACCGTGCCCGGCCTTTGGTCAGATTTAAGGTCAAAATCATAGATGAACTGGAGATGAATGGGCAGCATTTCCCCAAAGCAGTAGGAAGCCTGGAATGGAAGTAATCAAGTCAGCAGTTTTTCTGCAAAACCCATGGCCTCCCCCTTACCTCTGCATAATCAGCCACGAGGTAAAGCTCCACATACTTCATGGAGTTTAAATCTTCCCTTTTCATCTAAGAAAGAGAAACAGATCAGTGCTGTACAAATAGTGGACTTGGCCTCATTTTTTATAAAAACTGCTAAGAAATAGAGCTGCTGGATAAGCAGCAGCTCCCTCTGTAACGATTTTGTCGTTGGGTACTAGAGATGTTCCTGGCTGTGGTGGCCGTCACTCACATAACACCTTCCACTGCCATTTGGTTACTGCTGGAGGCTGCTTTGGAACACCGGATCTGGTCCTTTATTCTCAGAAAATACTGAAATGAGCTGGTGAGCACAGGAAGGACAGAGGGCAGCGTATGAGAGGGAGTGTGCTAACCACCACGTTCCCACAGAACCTCGAAACCTTTTACTTTTTTATTTATTCTTGAGGCAGGGTCTCACTCTGTTGCCCAGGCTGGTGTACAGTGGCACCATCTCAATTCACTGCAACCTCTGTCTCCCGGGTTCAAGTGATCCTCATGCCTCAGCCTCCTGAGTAGCTGGGATTACAGGCACCCAGCCACCACGCCCGGCTAACTTTTGTAGTTTTAGTAGAGATGAGGTTTTGCCGTGTTACCCAGGCTGGACTTGAACTCCTGGCCTCAAGCAATCTGCCTGCTTTAGCTTCCCAAAATGCTAGGATTATAGACATAAGCCATGGCACCCAGTCTTCCTTTCACTTTGTAAGCTTTCTGACATCAGCATCTGACTGTTTTAAAGGTAGTAGTGCTTTCCCTCACAAGCAGTTATTCTATTATGAGGGTATTTCACACTCAACAATGACTTAGAATAGGAGAAAAACACTCTTTCTTTCTTCTTAGCCAACACCCTTTAATTTAGAAATACTGGATTCAAAGTTAGCATTCTCAGAGAGGACAAGCCTGTCCCCAAGTTAGTTTCTGCACTGAGAGCCTCAAAACTCACCCTGCGAGGTCGTTTCTTGGTCTGTTGTGTAAACTGAAGAGCCCAGTCCCTGGTGGTGGGCTTGGAGTGCTCGATCCCACAGTTTCCCAGGGGCAGCTTGAGATGTTCAGATCTGTAAATTAGGTGTTGGCCCTCACTATCAGGGAGGGGCTCGATGACATAGCTGAGGTTACTGCTCACCGTAATCAGTCCTCTGTTGATAGGAAAAATAGAATCTCTGGTCAAAGATTATGGTTCTGTAAAAGTTCCTTGGGTAGGTCTTAGTTTCTCCACATGCAACATGACACAGTTGGTTTTGATCATTGGTTCTTAACCTAATTATGGGGCCATGTAGCCCTTTGTGAGACTCTGATGCAAACTCACACGTCCTCTCCAGAGAAATGCACATATACATAAAAAGTGGTTCATGATCTCTTGGACCCCCACACCCCCACCACCAAGCTCATTGTGAGACTCCAGGTTAAGAATCTCTGGACTGGGAAATATAAAAAGTTCTAAGAAGGCTGTACCTGTGACACTTAAAACTTTTAAAGGATAGGTCCAGGATCCCCAAAAGCCTTCCAAACCAAAACACGGAATATGACAAATTATGGGTCAAAACTTTAGAGACTCAAAAGAAGCAGTAAAGTGGCCAGAGAAAGACCAGGGCCTGCAGGTGAGGTGACCCAGTTTCTAGATTTAGTTCCAACATTCAATTTTCACATGCTTTTCAACAATCATCTTAAATCTCTCCAAGCGTCAGTTTCCTCATCCCTAAAACCGCAATGACAACTTATCAAGACCCCTGGATGATTAAGTGGAAAGGCAAGGGTCTTTGCACTTGGAAACCAAAGCGAGGTGCAACAGTGATGACATGCCTACCTGTCCCAACTGCCCCAAGTGCCCCATCATCAACTGCAGTTATTTGGTGAAGTGACATCCACCACCAAGCATGAGTGACTACTCTTTTCTCCCCTTGATTATAGATATTAGCATTGAACTCAGAATAAACTCATGGAGCCCTCAACTGTGTCTTAGACATAATCTAGACATAATCGTTGTACTCAAGAAACTCACAGTCCTCTGGAGGACAATCACACACATTTACTGGGGGCCCACTACAGACTAGGTATCATGCTAGTTGCTGAAGATAGAATAGTGAACAAGACACACTAAGTGCCTTCCCTCATGAAGCTTTGAATCTAAACATTGGAATAAGTCACTCTAACATGTAACAGAGAGAGCAAAAAGTTTCATCACTCCTAACAGTGATGGCCTGGAGGCAGCTGCGTCGAGTGTTACGTCACCAAGTCTTCTGAGGGCTTATCTAGCCTCAGCAAGGAGGAGGACCATGACTTCTGATCTATTACTGCTGCAAATGATCGGTGAAGGCCCAGGCAGCAGACATTTGTCATCCTTGATACGGTGAGACAAATATGATAGTAGAGGTAATCAAGGGTCGGGGAAAGGAGGAAGCCCAGGAGGAAGCCCCACAGACTCTAGCAGCATTTCGTATGCTGTAAAACCTCAGGCAGGCTCTCATCCATCCAGAGAGCTCAGAACCTGTAGCATCTCCAACCCAGTTTTTGCCACTGTAAACCGGCAGGACCTCTCTCTCTTAGCTTATCTCAGCTTCCACCTCTACCACAACCCCCACCATTCCCGCCCAGATTTTGCCCTTTGGGAAGAGCCTGTGACACTCTCAGGAAAACCAGTGCCAGACTGTGATGGGCAGTAGCCATTCCCGATCCCATCCCTGGCTGACCTCATTCCAGATCCAGGAAGCCTGATGACTTCCTGGCTGCCTCACCCAGGCTGACATAGCAATACACGATCACCTTCTTTGACAGACATCTAAGGTACTCCCTAAACATCTGGGGGTGGGAGTGGGGCAAAGAGCAAGGGTCAAATCCACTCCCTAATCCAGGCAGGAAAGGGCAGAGGAGAGAGCTGCGACACACATCCTGTTCCCAAGTTATCTCTTCATCCCAGCCAACCAAGGCATCTCCCATCGGCTCAGTTTCCCCTAATGGCTACACACTTTGGGAACAGAAGGCTTGACCACAAACCAACTGATGGTTCTGTGTGCACCGGGCTGTGGCTGCCGAGATTACACCCAGTGAGTGGAAAGTTCCATAGAGGAATCAGGGGAAGTTCCAGTGGAGGGTCGCAAGGAGTAATTGATCTGACATCGCTTGCACAAGCCTGTGAGCTAAACAGGACAGAGACCAAGCCAAAGTGCAGTGCACAATAAATAAGAATCACCGTAGTGGCTCCAGATTATTGAGCCTTTGCTATGGACTTGGCACTGTGCTCCGGAAGCATTTTATTATTCTCACCACCTTCCTAGGATCCTTACAAATATTATCCCCAATGTACAAATGGAAAAACAAAGGCTCAGCAAGGTTAATTAATCCAAAGTCACACAAATAGTAAGAGTAGGGATTTGGTTTTGTTTCTGTCTCATCAACTTTTAAGTTCCAGGGTACATGTGCAGGCCGGGCAGGTTTGTTACACAAGTAAACAAACACGTGCCATGGTGATTCGCTGCACAGATCAGCCCACTACCTAGGTATTAATGGAGTTGGGATTTGAATGGGAGCATTCTAGTTCCAAGTCCACAGCCTTACCCTGACCTTCCATGGCCTCAGGCACGATAGTCCGGTAGAGTAGAGTCTGGGCACGGTGGCTCACGCCTGTAATCCTAGCACTTTGGGAGGCCAAAGCGGGTGGATTGCTTGAGCTTATCAGCTCAAGGCCAGCCTACACAATATGGGGAAACCCTGTCTCTACTAAAAATATAATTAGCCAGGCATGGTAGCAGGCGCCTGTAATCCCAGACACTCAGGAGGCTGAGGCAGGAGAATTGCTTGAACCCGGGAGGCAGAGGTTGCAGTGAGATGAGATCATACCACTGCACTCCAGCCTGAGTGACAGAGCAAGACTGTCTCCAAAAGAAAAAAAAAAATAACCCTGTAGAGTGAATCAGAAAAATACCATGAGTTTGGTGCCAGCAGCTCTCCTCTGAGGGGTGACTGGCCTCACCTCAGTTTCCCAGGAGAAAAGACAAAGGAGGCATGAAGCCTACTTTTCACCTTCAGATGCCATTGATTGAGCTATCCGGGTGCCAGGCACTGTGTTTACAAACATTATTCTTATTTTATTCCCACATCATCATTATGGAAAGGCACCCTCGTAAGTCCCATTTTACAGATTAAGAAACTGCGGCTCAGAGACATTCAATAACAAGCTCTCGTGGTTAAGGGCAGAGTGTGGGCTCCAGGCACGGGGACCAGACAACCTGGAGCCAAAGATTTAAGGCCCACACACTGTGAACCTCATGCCCTTGAGCTCTATGCTGTCTGCCTCCATCAGTGTGTTCCAAGCGTGTGTTCGAGATCTCTAGCAGCACAGGTCCCAGGGCTATCTACTAGAATATTCTACAGTGTATGAAAAACACGGGTATCCAGGTCTGCTGTGGATATGGTTTGTTTAGCCCTGCCAAGTCTCGTGGCAGAATGTGGTCCCGTGTTAGAGGTGGGCCTGGTAGGAGGTGTTAGGATCATGGGGTGAATTCCTCATGAATGGCTTGGTGCATCCTGGTGGGAATGAGAGTTTTTAACCAGCAAATTCCCAGGAGAGTTCCCTCAAGAGCTGGTTCTTAAAAAGAGCCTAGCACATCTTCCCTCTCTCTCTTACTTCTTCTCTTACCACTTAACCTCCACACACACGGGCTTCCCTTCACCTTCTGCCACGAGTGGAAGCAGCCTCGGGCCCTCACCAGAAGCAGGTGCCAGCACCATGCTTCCTGTACAGTTCACAGAAGTGTGAGCCAAATAAACCTCTTTTCTTTATAAACTGCCCAGGCTTGGGTATTCTTTTATAGCAACACAAATGGACTAATACAGGGCCCAAACTAAAAAACCCAGCTCCGCAGGCCTGAGTGTCTGCACCGTATCGAGGCCCGTGAGTAATTCCCTGCCCAGCCACACTCAGGAACTTCCACCTGCAGACCACGCTCTGCAGCAGGCACCTGCTTTTCACCGGGCCCGTAGCACTTCTGATTCAGGGAGTGGGCAGATGACAGTTTGAGAGAAACACAGGCTCAGAAGGACACTGAAGGTCCTTCCAGCAATAAACAGGATTCTGTGGCCACGTCCCTCCCTCCAACTGCTGTTCTGGTAATTTGCCCATGTCACGGCTGCAATCGTCTCGCACGGCCTGGGGATGGAGGAGAGGCTGGCACGAGCCCCAGCACTGCCAGCGGTCAGCAGCTTTGTTGCTGGCGGAACGTCTGAGAATGTGGTTCCAGGGCCCTCCCCATCCCCATCCCCACTCCCCACTCCTTTAGCTGTCCTCTTCCGAGCACCACCAGTCGTTTATCCTTCTAGGAGCCTTGGTTGATCTAATTTGCTGAATATCAGCACTGGCAGAGGCAGAACTCCGCCAGGAAGCATGAGCCGGGGCCCAGGAGGCTGGGTGGCCAGGACCTCACATGCCATTCTCCATTCTGTTCTCCATCCTATTACTCATCGTTAACAGATGGATACAAATGAAATGATACAGGAAAACCCAGGCAGGGCAGGCAGGCAGGCAGGCAACAGGCAACTCATGTCTAACCCCTGAATAACTGAAGGATTCACCAAATGCATTCAAGGAACCAGGCCAAGAATTGCTTCCTGGGGACTTGTCCATTCAGAGCTAAACTCAAGGGGACACATTCTACATCCCTATGCCCAGAGGTGCCCTAAAAGGTAATTAGTGGGCCAGGCGTGGTGGCTCACGCCTGTAATCCCAGCACTTTGGGAGGCTGAGGTGAGTACATCATGAGGTCAGGAGATCGAGACCATGCTGGCTAACATGGTGAAACCCCATCTCTACTAAAAATACAAAAAGTCAGCCAGGCAAGGTGGCATGCGCCTGTAGTCCCAGCTACTCAGGAAGCTGAGGCAGGAGAATCGCTTGAACTTGGGAGGTGGAGATTGCAGTGAGCCGAAATCACGCCACTGCACGCCAGCCTGGGTGACAGAGCAAGACTCCATCTCAAAAAAAAAAAAAAAAAAAAAAGTAAATACCCTACTACCTGTCTTTCCTCTGCCCTTCCCTACAATTTTTATACATGCCAAAGGAGTTACAGGGAACTTCAAAGACTGCAAAAAAGAGAAGGCTTGTAGGTCGTGTGCTTTCTCTGGGACAGGATACCCCCATATAGCA